GCTGCTGCCAATCTTGTAGACTGTGAGGGTTGAAGTTGACTAGGATGGTCCCCGCTGCTGGAGATCCTATCACTTCACACCATCAGAGATGTCAATGACACCCTGTCTGGTGTACAAAGCACCATGCCTACCCCCTCAGAGGCAGAGGGTTTTAAATTGTTCCTTGATGAGGAATGGTGGAGAGTGTGGTGCAGGAAACAAACAGGTATGCTATTCTCATATTGGAGAAAAACCCAAGGCTCTCTTCAAATGAATCAAAATTCAGAATGACTTTAGCCTACTAAATATGCATATGTGTTTGCAGGCTTTTTCCACATTTTGTTACGTTACAGCCTTATTCTAAAATTGATTAAATTAATTGTTTTCCTCATCAATCTACACACAATACCCTATAATAACAAAGCGAAAACAGGTTTTTAGAAATGTTTGCAAATGTACAAAAATAAAAAATGAAATACCTTATTTACAGGTCCCACAGTTGACAATGCATGTCAGAGCAAAAACCAAGCCATGTGGTCGAAGGAATTGTCCGTAGAGCTCTGAGACAGGATTGTGTCTAGGCACAGATCTGGGGAAGGGTACCAAAACATTTCTGCAGCGTTGAAGGTCCATAAGAACACAGTGGCCTCCATCATTCTTAAATGGAATAAGTTTGGAACCACCAAGACTCTTCCTAGAGCTTGCCGCCCTGCCAAACTGAGCAATTGGGGGAGAAGAGAAGGGCCTCGCTTGGAGTTTGCCTAAAGGACACTGACCATGAGAAACAAGATTCTCTGGTTGGATGAAACCAAGATTGAACTCTTTGGCCTGAATGCCAAGCGTCACATCTGGAGGAAACCAGGCACCGCTCATCACCTTGCCAATGCCATCCCTACGGTGAAGCATGGTGGTGGCAGCATCATGCTGTGGGGATGTTTTTCAGCAGCAGGGACTGGAAAACTAGTCAGGATCGAGGGAAAGATGAACGGAGCAAAGTACAGAGATCCTTGATGAAAACCTGCTCCAGAGCGCTTAGGACCTCAAACTGGGGCGAAGGTTCACCTTCCAACAGGACAGCAACCCTAAGCACACACAGCCAGGACAATGCAGGAGTGGCTTTGGGCCAAGTCTCTGAATGTCCTTGAGTGGCCCAGCCAGAGCCCGGACTTGAACCCGATCGAACATCTCTAGAGAGACCTGAAAATAGGTGTGCAGTGACGTTCCCCATCCAACCTGACAGAGCTTGAGAGGATCTGCAGAGAAGAATGGGAGAAACTCTCCAAATACAGGAGTGCCAAGCTTGTTGCGTCATACCCAAGAAGACTCCAGGCTGTAATCGCTGCCAAAGGTGCTTCAACAAAGTACTAAGTGAAGGGTCTGAATACTTATGTAAATGTGATATTTCAGTTTTTTTTATAAATTAGCATAACTTTCAAGAAAACTGTTTTTGCTTTGTCATTATGGGGTATTGTGTGTAGATTGATGGTGGAAAAAAAACCAATTTAATCGATTTTAGAATAAGGCTGTAACTTAACAATGTGGAAAAAGGCAAAGGGCCTGAATACTTTCCGACTGCACTGTATACCTTCCTCGTCATGGTGTTGCTGATGGGGCTAGTGAAGAAGGTCTCTGTGAGGGACTGCTGGACCACTGACCTCATGCTGTAGCCCCCTTTTTAAAATCATTTTCTCCCAGGACTGCTTCCTTGTCTTGCTGAGAGCGCTCCACTTTGTGAACAACGCCACTGCCAACCTCGCTGCTGCCCCCATCAACAAAAAAAATGTGGAATGTCCTGGGCAGCTTGACCAGGGCATTTTGAAGAGTGTTTGTGCCTCACAAGGACTTGTGCATTGATGAGTCTCTCATGGCTTGGAAAGGGAGGCTTGCATTCCGCCAATACATCCCATCAAAGCGGCACTGATTTGGAGTCAAGTTCTTTGTTTTATGTGACTGTCTGACAGGATACGTACAGGACCTGATCATCTACACCGGCTCCACCACAGATATGAGATGTTGAGTGTCTTGGCATATCAGGATCAGTAGTGATCACCATGTTGCAGCCTTACTTTTGGAAAGGGGCACATTGTATTTGTGGACAGTAGTCTTACTCTTTTCTAGTAAATTTTTGAGGGAGAACACAGAGGCCTGTGGCACAGTGAGATCCAACAGGAAGGGGATGCCAATATTCAGAAATAAAATGAGCGAGGTGGAGTTGTTAACCACTGGGGAGATGAAGGCAGTGAAATAGCACAACAAATACAGTGTACATGTTCTGTCCACTGTGCACACCTACAAAATGTCAAACACTGGAAAACTGGACTATGTCACCGGAGAGAGGAAAATGAAGCCAGACTGTGTCTTGGAGTACAATAAGAAGATGGGCGCAGTTGACAAAGTGGGCATACAGAACAGTTTTGTTGAGTGTGCCAGAAAGTCCCTCAAATGGTACTATAAGTAATTTTCCACCTAATAGACATCGCTCTCGTCAACGCCACATTGTCCACCGGCAGGTCACAGGACAGGTGAACAAAAATGATTAAGGATGCCAGCGTTTCCCTTCGCCATGGTCGGCATATAGTTGAAGTCGGAAGTTTACATACACCTTAGCCAAATACATTTAAACTCAGTTTTTCACAATTCCTGACATTTAATCCTAGTAAAAATTCCCTGTCTCAGGTCAGTTAGGATCACCACTTTATTTTAAGAATGTGAAATGTCAGAATAACAGTAGAGAGAATGATTTATTTAAGCTTGTATTTCTTTCATCACATTCCCAGTGGGTCAGAAGTTTACATACACTCAATTAGTATTTGGTAGCATTGCCTTTAAATTGTTTAACTTGGGTCAAATGTTTCGGGTAGCCTTCCACAAGCTTCCCACAATAAGTTGGGTGAATTTTGGCGCATTCCTCCTGACAGAGCTGGTGTAACTGAGTCAGGTTTGTAGGCCTCCTTGCTCGCGCATGCTTTTTCAGTTCTGCCCACACATTTTCTATAGGATTGAGGTCAGGGCTTTATGATGGCCACTCCAATACCTTGACTTTGTTGTCCTTAAGCCATTTTGCCACAACTTTGGAAGTATGCTTGGGGTCATTGTCCATTTGGAAGACCCATTTGCGACCAAGCTTTAACTTCCGGACTGAAGTCTTGAGATGTTGCTTCAATATGTCCACATATTTTTCCTTCCTCATGATGCCATCTATTTTGTGAAGTGCACCAGTCCCTCCTGCAGCAAAGCACCCCCACAGCATGATGCTGCCACCCCGTGCTTCACGGTTGGGATGGTGTTCTTCGGCTTGCAAGCAACCCCCTTTTTCCTCCAAACATAACGATGGTCATTATGGCCAAATAGTTTTATTTTTGTTTCATCAGACCAAAGGACATTTCTCCAAGAACTACGATCTTTGTCCCCATGTGCAGTTGCAAACCGTAGTCTGTCTTTTTTATGGCGGTTTTGGAGCAGTGGCTTCTTCCTTGCTGAGCGGCCTTTCAGGTTATGTCGATATAGGACTAGTTTTACTGTGGATATAGATACTTTTGTACCTGTTTCCTCCAGCATCTTCACAAGGTCCTTTGGTGTTGTTCTGGGATTGATTTGTACTTTTCGCACCAAGTACGTTCATCTCTAGGAGAATGGATGAACCAGACTTGTGGAGGTCTATAATTATTTTTTCTGAGTTTTTGTCTGATTTCCTTTGATTTTCCCATGATGTCAAGCAAATGGGCACTGGTAGGCCTTGAAATACATCCACAGGTACACCTCCAATTGACTCAAATGATGTCAATTAGCCATGACATCATTTTCTGGAATTTTCCAAGCTGTTTAAAGGCACAGTCAACTTAGTGTATGTAAACTTCTGAGCCACTGGAATTGTGATACAGTGAATTATAAGTGAAATAATCTGTCTGTAAACAATTGTTGGAAAAATTACTTGTGTCATGCACAAAGTAGATGTCCTAACCGACTTGCCAAAACTATAGTTTGTTAACAAGAAATTTGTGGAGTGGTTGAAAAACTAGTTTTAATGACTCCAACTTAAGTGTATGTAAACTTCCGACTTCAACTGTATGTAATATGCTCATACCCCACTCTCACTTTGTTTGTACGCCACTATTGTGTCAAAGACACCGGACATAGCACCTCAGGTTTCCCGCACTGTCTCACACGTGTAGCCCCTCAGACATGGTAATACCAAAGCCTCTTTCAGAGAATACATTTTATATAGATCGTCTTATGAAGCCTCATATGAAGCAGACAATGTGGGCTTGATGCAGTGAGGGGCGCAGAGAATATCTGGAAAATGCAACAATTACGTTCTAGAACAGCAGCATAGAATTCTATCCTTTTCCCCCCCAAAAAAACAGCTGACAGAATGACCACAATTCAGCAGCAGCAGCACATAGAAATAGAATGAATAGAACATGCTTGGCTCCTCTAACCTTGGCAATTTGACTGGTAAACAGTCACAATGACTGCCTGGTATTGTGATACAATATTTCCATGGTAATGTAGAATGTTCATTAAAATTATTTTAATTTGTGGGTCATGCAATGGAATGTATTTTTTGTAATGCCTGTTGTGTTGAATCAACAAATCACAGCTCATATTTTAGTACATATTTTACTTCCTGTTTTGCTCCTATGGGTACACTCGCAATGGCCACCAGTCCTCCCATTATGCCATCGTTGACTTGAATGTGGACACCCGTTCTATTCATTTTATTTCTATGGCAACACATGCGGTCAGGAGCGGAGGAGAAGAGTTAATATGTCAAAAAATTGTAAATCTCACCTACACATATCCTTATTCTCCACCGCCACCCGTAGGGTGTGGCTCTAATGTGCACCACAATGCATAATGAAGAACTCTTGGCCCCTTGCAATGATACAGACACTATTTTTATTGCCATTTTACTGAGGTGGCATGCAGCAGATTTTCCCCAAGGTGTTTTTTAAAAGCGCCATCTGCTCTCCAGATTCCCTCTTAGAATTGCCTTGTGGCTGCTGTGTTGTGTTCCTGTCATTTCCAATGGTCTGACTGTTGTGTTTGTGTTCCTGTTCCTTTAGGGCGGATGAGTGAAGTGTTTAAGGATGTGGATAAAGGCTATAATGGGATGGAGAGGGCGTCAGTCACCCAGCGGCTGCCTAAAAGTGACAGCTACCCTCCCAAGACCCCTGGACTTCCGATGGGGCCCACCAGTGACTACTGCCAGCACTCCTTGCAGCCAATGGCCCAGCACCATGAAATGGCAAACTCAGCGATAGAGTCTGCGCTGCCTGCGCCTCCACACTCGATGTCGTCGCCTCCTCCGGCTGTGTCTGCGCCTCACCCTGTGGTTTCCACCCATTCTAGGGTCTCTGCACCTCCTGCAGTGTCCACGCCTCCTATGGGTACATCAGGACCTCCTGTCGTTTCATCCTTCTCTGTTACTTCTACGCCTCCCCGAAACTCAGCGCCTCCCATGTCCTCTTCTCCATCTCCCCCTGTGCTTGGACCTCCTCCAGGGCTATCTTCGCCTCCTCTGATGGTCCAAGGCATAAGACCTTCTCCAGTGTCTTTGTCCACACCTCCATCAGTGGCATCTCCACCCTCGTCAGTGTCTGTACCTCTTCCCAAGCCACCTGCACCACCACTTCTACTGGACAAATCCTCTAGACCTCCAGCTGTGTCTGCTCCCCACCCAGTCAGTGCTCCTCCCCCAGTGTCTGTGGCACATCAGACTGCTCCCATGACATCTGCACCTCCTGCGATGGTCTCTACTCCTACCATGGTGTCTGCTCCCCCGCACTCCATGTCTGCGCCTATCTCTGCACTTCAGCAGATGGTTCAAGGATCCAGACCACCTCCTTTGACTTCCTCTCTCCCAGCTTTATCTGGAGCTCCTCGAGAAAAGTTTTGGACTCCATCAAGGTCTGCAGGTGCACCTCCCCCAACAGTTTCTGTCCCCCCCCCAGCGGTGTCTGCTCCCTCGGTGGCAGTCAGGCAAGCTTCCTTAGCAGTGCCCAGGCCTCCTTGGGCAGTCAGTGCACCTTCTATATCAGTGTCCTCACCTCCTCGATCTGTGTCAAGATCAGTGTCTGTGTCTGCAGTGTCCTCTTCTCCAAAGGAGGTATCTATGCCTCCTCTAACAGTCCAAGGACCTAAAGTTCAAGCCTCCAGAGTTCCTCCAATGTCTGAGCCTCCTGCCTTGGTGTCTGTGCCTCCTGCAGTGATGACTGCTCTTCAAATGGTCCCCTCTATGCCTCCTTCTGTCTCTGCGCCTTCCCTATCTGTTCCTGCTCCTCCACAAGCCCCTAAACGGATGGTTTCCCCTGAGCCAGAGGAGCGATACATGGGCAACAAGAAGGACCCCTTTGTAGAACCACCTGGAAAACCAGAGGAGAGTTCTTCACAGCCTAAAGTCGAGACAGTCAGAACATCATCAAAGATGGATGCCACCAAGTCTCTGACTCGTCAATCTGAAAAACACTCACACAAACCCCTCACAGATATTCCTGGGACACCTCCGCCTCCTAAGGACCAAGAGAACTCCTCTGGGGACAAAATGTGTGCAGAGAAAAAGGACACCGCTCCCCTGAGAGGCGCATACACTCCCCTGGAGAGGAGAGGTCTGGATGACACCAGTGAGACTGAGGAGTCTGCGGACGAGTTGTCGCAGGCGGTCTCCACGTGCCTCGACAACACCAGGATGGAGAACTCCAGCCTCACTGAAGAGGATGACGCCTGTAACGACTCGTCACTCAACGACACCTCTCAGTTTGGCGACACTTCTAGACTTCTAGGCGCTACCTCTCACATGGATGACATGTCTCGTTTGGATGACAGCTTCCGCGTAGATGATGAAACCTCTCGGTTTGATGATACCTCTCGCATGGATTATGACTGCTCTCGATTGGATGTCAGCTCTCAATTGGACGACAGCTCTCGCATAGATGGCGACAAATCTCGATTTGACGATACCTCTTGTTTGGATGACAGCTCTCGCATGGATGACACCTCTTGTGCGAATGAAATATCACATGTTGGTGACACTACAATAGATAGCAGCTTCTCTGTGTTGGACTCCAGGGACTTGACGCTGGATGATACCCAGACAGAGGACTCTTCCCAGGCAGAGGAGACCATTGACAGCTGCCTGAGCACCAGTGTGTCCATGCTGGAGTCCTCTCTGAACAACAGCTCTCAGATGGAGGACTCCCGCGTTGAATCGTCCCAGAATGACGTCTCCCGGTCAAGCTCAAATGGCCCTGCCAAACCACCCCCAGCCTACAAAGGTAAGATCCTTGCCAAAGATATATGACAACCTATGTTTATGTAATTAATTAGCTTAAAGGGATAGTTCACCCAAATTACAAAATGACACATTGGTTTCCTTACTCTTTAAGCAGTCTATTGACAAATTATGACCGCAATCCATGCTTTGGTTTCCCAAACATTTTAGCATTTGTGGCACAAATCAGATTCAAGTCATGGGACCGATTTATTATACTTTTTTGCTCATTTCCAAATTATCCAAAAGTATCTCCAATGTATTGTGAAGCTCAACCATGTCATTTCCTGCTGATTTGAACATGATACGACCGAGTTTAGCTTTTTTCTCGCATCTAAATCGCAGTGAAATATATTGTCAATAACAAAAAATGTTTTTTTACAGCTGTTTGAAGCTTGTGGACCAAAACCGAATGTAAAAGGCTCAACTCGCGCTTGAGCTTTTTATGTTCGGTTTTAGTCCACCAGCTTCAAACAGGTGTAAAAAAACATATTTTTTGTTATTGACAATATATTTCACTGCGATTTAGATGGTACAATGATTCCCTACAATATTCAGTGCTTGTTTTCTCACAAACTGAAATTGAGCTAACCGTGTAGAATTCTTGCAACCAGGAAATGACAATTTCAACTAGATAACACAGCCACGAAGTCAGAACAGCTTTCCCATTTTGACAACAGATGCCGCTCCGGCGGGCGAAATCTAGGCGAATATCACAGCCAATCACAACACTGGTGTTTAAGTAATACTGTGAAACACTATCATTCCACTATTACTGCAGATACAGTATATTATGGACATTTTCTGAAATTACAATGTACAAATCCTGTGTAGCAACTTTAAGTAAGATCGTGTGTGGGTAGATGGTTGGCAATGTAGAACTTTGCAAGAAGAGTTGTGGGTTGGGTCTTGGAAATTAGAGTTGATTAATTATCAACTCTTATCACAGCCAACCATGGAAGCACTTATTTTGTCAACCAACAGTAACTGTCAGTTAATTTGAGGTTGTTAACCATTAACCCTTCATCTTATGACCTCTTGACAGGGTCTGAAGGTGAATGTGAGCCGGAGGGCCAGGATATACCAGACTCTGCTGGCTCCGCCAAGGCCAGTGCTGCTAGTATCATGGTTCCCCCTGTTATCATGGACAAAGACAAGCACACAGCGGCGCTCAGTGCCCTGGTGGGGAACCTGGTTGCAGCCCAACTCCTGCCCCGAGCCGCCCCAGCCTTGCCCACCACCAGCCAAAAGACATCAAGGAAACCCAGGAAGCCACGCACTCTAGCAGCCTCTACTCCCGGTAAACCAACTTCTCTTTGTCCCTTTTTTGTTTTTATGATATGTTTGAGCAAAGTTGTGTACAGTGGCCAAGCAATGATTTCTGACTTTCTATTGTCATTCTCTCCAGTTCCCCAGGTCCCCGGGCAAGCACAGCGGATGTCCACTGTTAAAACTCCAAAGTTGGATAAGATAAAGGTGGCGAGGAAGAAGAAGCTTGAGAAAGGAGAGGTAGTAGAGAAAAAGGAAAAGGGACCACCAAGAAAGAGAAAGAAGAAGACAGAACCAGTAGCAGTCACAGTAGAGGTTGAACGTTCTGCTGACGGCCTACTTCCTGGTCAAAGTGGATCAATCACAACCATCGGTGAACCATGTCTGACCAGTGGCGAGACCCTGCCGGCCGTCAAACCCAAGAAGGTTAGGGTCAAGAAAGTCAAGAATCTGGAACCGATGCCACCCAAAATAGCGAAAATGGATGTTGACACTAAACCCAATGATGATGGCAATAACGACAATGACGGAGATGACAGTTCCACTGCTGGTAATGAACAAACAAACAATTTTTATATATATATATATTATTTTATCGTTTCTCTATATGTATACTGAACAGAAATATAAAAGCAACATGTAAAGTGTTGGTCCCATGTTTCATGAGCTGAAATAAAAGATCCCAGAAATGTTCCATACGCACAAAAAGCTAATTTCTCTGAAATTTGGTGCACACATTTGTTTACATCCCTGTTAGTGAGCATTTCTCCTTTGCCAAGATAATTCCTCCACCTGACAAGTGTGGCATATCAAGAAGCTGATTAAACAGCATGATCATTACACAGGTGCACCTTGTCCTGGGGACAATAAAAGGCTACTCTAAAATGTGCAGTGTTTTCACACAACACAATGCCACAGATGTCTGAAGTTTTGAGGGAGCATGCAATTGGCATGCTGACTGCAAGAATGTCCACCAGAACTGTTGCCAGAGAATTGAATGTTCATTTCTCTACCATAAGCCGTCTCCAACGTCGTTTTAGAGAATTTGACAGTACGTCCAACTCACCTCACAACTGCAGAACAAGTCTAAACCAGTCTTTTTTTTTTAAGGTGTCATTCCCAGTCATGGGAAATCCATAGATTAGGGCCTAATTAGTTTCAATTGACTGATTTCCTTATGAATTGTAACTCAGTAAAATATTTAAACAAAAATTCATTTTGTCTGTCATAGTTGACGTGTACCTATGATGAAAATTACAGGCCTCTCTCATCTTTTTAAGTGGGAGAACTTGCACAATTGGTGGCTGACTAAATACTTTTTTCCCCCACTGTAGTTATGACCCAATGATTATAAACCAGGGATCATCAACTAGATTCAGCCGCGGATATTTTTTATTGTTGTTGAGCGGATGGTCAGGTGGCCGGAACATAATTACAAATAATTTGTAGACTGCAAATTGAACGCAAGAAGGCCAAACAGATATCATATTTGAAAAACGTAATAATTTCAAACCTTGCTTAAATTCTTCTCTGCGTTGTTGTTTACGAAGCATGTGACCATTTTTTAAATATATTTTTTTGCGATCACGTATACAGTATCTCTCTCTCTTATGCATGGGAATACTTTGGAACAGATTTCCAAAATTAAAGTCACTTGTAGCTGATTTGCTGGTGTTTTTACAGTTGTAAAAAAATTTGTGTATACACTACCAGTCCAAAGTTTGGACACATCTACTCATTCAAGGGTTTTCTTTATTTTTACATTGTAGAATAATAGTGAAGACATCAAAACTATGACATAACACATATGGAATCATGTAGTAACCAAAACTGTTAAACAAATCAAAATATATTTGAGATTTGAGATTCTTCAAAGTTGATGACAGCTTTGCACACTCTTGGCATTCTCTCAACCAGCTTCATGAGGTAGTCACCTGGAATGCATTTCAATTAACAGGTGTGCCTTGTTCAAAGTTAATTTGTGGAATTTCTTTCCTTAATGCATTTGAGCCAATCAGTTGTGTGTGACAAGGTAGGGTTGGTATACAGAAGATAGCCCTATTTGGTAAAAGACCAAGCCCATATTATGGCAAGAACAGCTCAAATAAGCAAAAAGAAACAACAGTCCATCATTACTTTAAGATATGAAGGTCAGTCAATACGGAAAATGTCAAGAACTTTGAACGTTTCTTCAAGTGCAGTCACGAAAACCATCAAGCGCTATGATGAAACGGGCTCATGTGGACTGCCACAGGAATGGAAGACATAGATTTACCTCTGCTGCAGAGGATAAGTTCATTAGAGTTACCAGCCTCAGAAATTGCAGCCCAAATAACAGAGTTCAAGTAACAGACACATCTCAACATCAACTGTTCAGAGAGGACTGTGTGAATCAGGCTTTCAGGGTCGAATTGCTGCAAAGAAACCACTACTAAAGGACACCAATAAGAAGAAGAGACCTGCTTGGGCCAAGAAACGCGAGCAATGGACATTAGACTGGTGGAAATGTGACCTTTGGTCTGGAGTCCAAATTGGAGATTTTTGGTTCCAACCGCCATGTCTTTGTGAGACACTGCCTGTGCTGGTGACACTGTCTGTGACTTATTTAGAATTCAAGGCACACTTAACCAGCATGGCTACCACAGCATTCTGCAGCGATACGACATCCCATCTGGTTTGGGCTTAGTGGGACTATCATTTGTTTTTCAACAGGACAATGACCCAACACACCTCCAGGCTGTGTAAGGGCTATTTTACCAAGAAGGAGAGTGATGGAGTGCTTCATCAGATGACCTGGCCTCCACAATCCCCCAACCTCAACCCAATTGAGATGGTTTGGGATGAGTCGGACGGCATAGTGATGGAAAAGCAGCCAACAAGTGCTCAGCATATGTGGGAACTCCTTCAAGACTATTGGAAAAGCATTCCAGGTGAAGCTGGTTGAGAGAATGCCAAGTGTGTGCAAAGCTATCATCAAAACAAAAGGTGGCTCTTTGAAGAATCTCAAATATAAAATATATTTTGATTTGTTTAACACTTTTTGGGTTACTACATGATTCCATATGTTATTTAATAGTTTTGATGTCTTCACTATTATTCTACAATGAAAATAGAAAATAGTAAAAAGAAAGGAAAGCTGGTACTGTGTGTGTGTGTGTGTGTGTGTGTATGTATGTGTATATATATATATATATATGTATGTGTGTGTGTGTGTATATATATATATATATATATATATATATATATATATATATATATATATATATATATATATATATATATATATATATATATATATATATATATATATATATATATATATATATATATATATATAATATTTTGCTCAGAAAACTTGGGGGACAAATAAACTCACCCGCGGGGCTGCCAGTTGGGGAACCCTGCTCTTAACCGATGGTGATGTTGATGGATGAGAGTAATTCTGTACAAATCTAATTCTGCGGTCTTTGTTCCTTGTACAGGTGACACCCCCAGGAGGAGGATAGCAACAGAGGAGCAGGTTCACTTCCCTCTGCTCCATGGGTAATGATACATACACTAGCGAAAAGCTCCCCTAATTAGTGTGTCTCTGTGCCAAATACTTCTAGTGTGTGGAAAGTGCAGAGAATGTGAAATGTCAGAATAATAGTAGAGAGAATTATTTATTTCAGCTTTTATTTCTTTCATCACATTCCCAGTGGGTCAGAAGTTTACATACTCTCAATTAGTATTTGGTAGCATTACCTTTAAATTGTTTAACTTGGGTCAAAAGTTTCAGGTAGCCTTCCACAAGCTTCCCACAATAAGTTGGGTGAATTTTGGCCCATTTGCTCTGACAGAGCTGGTGTAACGGAGTCAGGTTTGTAGGCCTCCTTGCTCGCACATGCTTCTTCAGTTATGCCCACACATTTTCTATAGGATTGAGGTCAGGGCTTTGTGATGGCCACTCCAATACCTTGACTTTGTTGTCCTTAAGCCATTTTGCCACAACTTTGGAAGTATGCTTGGGGTCATTGTCCATTTGGAAGACCCATTTGCGACCAAGCTTTAACTTCCGGACTGAAGTCTTGAGATGTTGCTTCAATATATCCACATCATTTTCCTTCCTAATGATGCCATCTATTTTGTGACGTGCACCAGTCCCTCATGCAGCAAAGCACCCCCACAGCATGATGCTGCCACTCCCGTGCTTCACGGTTGGGATGGTGTTCTTCGGCTTGCAAGCTATCCCCTTTTTCCTCCAAACATAACGATGGTCATTATGGTCAAACAGTTATATTTTTGTTTCATCAGACCAGAGGACGTTTCTCCAAAAAGTATGATCTTTGTCCCCATGTGCAGTTGCAAACCGTAGTCTGTCTTTTTTATGGTGGTTTTGGAGCAGTGGCTTCTTCCTTGCTGAGCGGCCTTTCAGGTTATGTCGTTATAGGACTCGTTTTACTGTGGATATAGATACTTTTGTACTGGTTTCTTCCAGCATCTGCACAAGGTCCTTTGCTGTTGTTCTGGGATTGATTTGCACTTTTCGCACCGAAGTACGTTCATCTTTAGGAGACAACGCGTCTCCTTCCTGAGCGGTATGACGGCTGCTTGGTCCCATGGTGTTTATGCTTGCGTACTATTGTTTGTACAGATGAACGTGGTACCTTCAGGTGTTTGGAAATTGCTCCCAAGGATGAACCAGACTTGTGGAGGTCTACAATCTTTTTTCTGAGGGCTTGGCTGATTTCTTTTGATTTTCCCTTGATGTCAAGCAAAGAGGCACTGCATTTGAAGGTAGGCCTTGAAATACATCCACAGGTACACCTCCAATTGACTCAAATTATGTCAATTAGCCTATCAGAAGCTTCTAAAGCCATTACATCATTTTCTGGAATTTTCCAAGCTGTTTAAAGGCACAGTCAACTTAGTGTATGTAAACTTCTGACCCACTGGAATTGTGATACAGTGAATTATAAGTGAAATAATCTGTCTGTAAACAATTGTTGGAAAAATTACTTGTCATGCACAAAGTAGATGTCCTAACCGACTTGCCAAAAGTATAGTTTGTTAACAAGAAATGTGTGGAGTGGTTGAAAAACGAGTTTTAATGACTCCAACCTAAGTGTATGTAAACTACTGACTTGTGTGCTACTACAACTGTATGTGCTGCTTCTACTGTGTGTTGAATGTGGCTCTTAACTGACTTTTTATTGATCTGTGCTTTAGCTGGAGGAGGGAAATCCGAGTCAAGAAGACTGAGGACCGGCTGAAGGGGGAGACCTGGTACTACAGCCCCTGTGGGAGGAGGATGAAGCAGTTTCCAGAAGTCATCAAGGTAAATGGCCCTGAGTTACAGTAAAACATCACCAAGGGAGTCGCACTGTACATTTTTTGTGAGAGAAGGTCAGCAGCTATAAATAGCTCTTGATACAGTGAGATGTCTTTCCCGCTGGGCATTTACCACATCACACAGACACTTATTTTGGGTGAGATATTGAATGTGACCAGCGAAATTATAAGAGGACATGGTTTTAGCATACCAACAACTGTAGCTTCATTTGATCTTATTTATTTAACCCATCAGTTGTGTGGATCACTTGTGACTTGGTGACCTATGACCTGGCTTTCTCATGTTCCCCGGCTCTAATGCCAATGACCCATGATCCTGTTCTCCCTCAGTACCTGAACAGGCACAAGGACACCGCTGTGACAAGGGAACACTTCAGCTTCAGCCCCCGCATGCCTGTAGGAGACTTCTACGAGGAGAGGGACTCCGCTGAGGTGTGTGTGGATTTGTTGTCTGTGCTGACAGATCTGTCATCATAAATACCTATAGTAATAACTCAATGCAGACTGTCATAAACCCTATTCTGACCGGTTTTGTTTTACTGGTGGAGGTCGGGTAATTTAATTATGTGCACGAGCACAAAACCTATCTGTAACATTAGTCCCGTCTGAATCTGCCATGTCAGTCATTTTTACGTGGCAGGTGAGTAACAATTCCAGCCAGAATATCCTACTGTTTTTTTTGGGTCAACTCCAAAATTATTTGATAATACTAGTCCCGTGCGAATCGACATCCCTGTGTTTTCAGAGAAATTTCTGAGTTTGACAGATGTTGCTCACGGTTTGAGCAAGAAAACAAGAAAACAATATCCCCTTATTGTACCTTTTTAAATGTGCCTTTAGAGGCCATGCAATTCAGTACTCATCTCGAAAACAAAAGCAATTTAGGTCAAAAGAGTTTATACTAACAAAGGAAATAGAAAGTCTAACAGAACAGATAGATGGCAATAAAAACTGGAACATAGAGGCTCAGAATAAATTAGAGGAAAAACTAAAAGAAATGGAGAAACATATTCAAGAAAGATCAAGTGTAATATATTATACAAATAAAGCAAACTGGATGGAATATGGAGAAAAATGCACCAAATTCTTTTTTAATCTTCAACATAGGAATGCTACCAAAAATAATTTAATGAAACTGGTTACAATTGACGGAGTAACCCATGATTTACCAAATTATATTTTGAAGGAGGAAACAAAGTACTTTAAGCATATGTTTTCGTTTCAGTCGCCTCCATCTCCTCTAACTGAAGCTAATTGCAGAGATTTTTTTCTATTGATAATGTAAAATTAACAGCCAAACAGAAAGACTCATGTAAATAAATAAATAAATAAATAAATTGGTCATTTAGCAGACGCTCTTATCCAGAGCGACTTACAGGAGCAATTAGGGTTAAGTGCCTTGCTCAAGGGCACATCGACAGGTTTTTCACCTAGTCGGCTCGGGGATTAGAACCAGCGACCTTTCGGTTACTGGCACAACGCTCTTAACCACTAAGCTACCTGCCGCCCCATATGTGAAGGTGAAATTACAGAGGAGGAACTTCTGGATGCAATTAAAGACTTTAAGTCCGGGAAAACTCCAGGGTTGGATGGCATACCAGTCGAGGTATACCAAACCTTTTTTGATATACTAAGAGGACCGTTATTAGCATGTTTTAACCACTCCTATGTAAATTGTAGATTATCTGACATTCAAGAAGAAGGTCAGATCTCATTATTACTGAAACAGGATACAAGTGGAAAATATAAAGATCCAGTCCATTAAAAAAATTGGAGGCCCCTTACACTTCAGTGTTGTGATGCAAAAATTCTAGCAAAATGTATAGCGCATAGAATAAAAAAGGTATTGTCGGATATATTCATTCTAATCAGACTGGTTTTTTACATGGAAGATACATTGGAGATAATATAAGGCAAGTATTGGAAACAATAGAACATTATGGAAAATCGGAGAAACCAGGCCTGCTATTCATAGCAGACTTCGAAAAAGGCATTTGATAAAGTACGACGGGGGTTTATATACTGTATAAATGCCTGGAGCATTTCAATTTTGGAGAATCTCTTATAAAATGGGTCAAAATCATGTATAGTAACCCTAGGTGTAAAATAGTAAATAATGGCTATTTCTCAGAAAGTTTTAAACTGTCAAGAGGAGTGAAACAAGGTTGTCCACTATCGGCATATCTATTTATTGTGGCCATCGATGTTAGCTATTAAAATCAGATCCAACAATAATATCAGGGGATTAGAAATCCAGGGTTTAAAAACAAAGGTGTCATTGTACGCTGATGATTCATGTTTTCTTTTAAATCCACAACTAGAATCACTCCACAGCCTCATAGAGGATCTAGATACATTTTCTAACCTCTCTGGATTACAGCCAAATTATGACAAATGTACTATATTACGTATTGGATCAATAAAAATTGTACATTACCATGTAGTTTACCAATAAAATGGTCTGATGGTGATTTGGATATACTCGGAATACATATCCCAAAGGAAATAAATGATCTCACTTCAATAAATTATAATAGAAAGTTAGCAAAAATAGATAAGATCTTCCTACCATGGAAAGGTAAATACCCGTCAATTTGTGGAAAAATCACCCTGATTAACTCTTTAGTGTTATCCCAGTTTACCTATTTGCTTATGGTCTTGCCTATGCCTAGCGAACATTTTATTAAATTATATGAGAAAAAAATATTCCATTTTATTTGAAACGGCAAGCCAGACATAATTAAACAGGCCTATTTATATAATGAATATGAATTCGGAGGGCAGAAATTATTAAATATTAAAGCATTAGACCTATCACTAAAAGCTTCAGTCATACAAAAGTTATACTTAAATCCGAAATGGTTCTCTAGCAAATTACTAAGATTCTCACCCAATGTTCAAGAATGGCCTTTTTCCCTTTATTCAAATTACAACCACTCACTTTCAGTTATTTGAAAAGGAAATCATCTCCCAGATATCACTATTTCTAAAACAAGCCACAGAAAGTTGGTTGCAATTTCAATTTAATCCTCCAGAAACTACAGAACAAATAATGCAACAAATATTGTGGTTAAACTCAAATATACTAATTGACAAAAAAACTTTTTTTTTGGACAAAATGTTTAAAAAAGGTATAATCTTTGTAAATGATATCATCGGTAGAACTGGTGGAGTTATGTCGCACATGCAGCTAACAAAACATATGGAAATGTCTGCTCTACCCAAAATTACAACCAAATAATTGCAGCATTACCGCAAAAATGGAAGAGGAAAGTGGAAGGGGGAGAAAGTAAGGAACTTGTCTGTCGGCCTTGCATTAAAGAACATAATTGGTTAAGGAAAACTGTGATAAATAAAAAAGTATATCAGTTTCACTTAAGGACCAAAGAATTGACAGCCGTCCCATATAGATTGCAAAATAGTTGGGAAGAGATCTTTGACGTACCGATCCCATGGCATAGTGTTTATGAACTGACATGCAAAACGACACCGGATTCAAAAATTAGAATCTTTCAATTTAAATTATTATATACAATTCTTGCTACCAATATAATGTTATTTATATGGGGGATACAATCTTCCCAGCTCTGCAGATTTTGCTGCGAAGAGACAGAATCATTAGATCATTTGTTTTGGTACTGTCCATTTGTAGCTTGTTTTTGGACACAGGTCCAGGAATGGCTAAAGGATTGCAATATTTACCTGGAGCTAACCCTGCAGATAGCACTACTGGGTGATCTGAAAAGTCATAGTCAATCGATCAATAATAATAATAATATTAGCAAAAATGTTTATTTTCAATTCACAATCTGTAGAAACAATGAGAATAGAAAGGTTCAGAACTTTTGTAAGACATCACCGTACAGTTGAAATATATATGGCAAATAGAAATCCTGTAAGGATTGTGTTAAAAGATAGATGGGAGGTATTGAATGGAATTGAAGGATGGGACTAATAACAACTAACAACAAACAATAACAAGATGACTAATAATGTAAGCATACTGTGTCCATAATAAGTGTATGGGTTGTAGGTTGGGAGCTTTTGTGAAGGAGCACAGTTAGAAAGATATGGCATATAGAAGCAAACCGGATGGACATCATGAAAATGATCGGAGAGGTTGAGAGTAGAAGTAGTTCAGGAGAAAGAACAAACAAAATTACATTTACATGTAATTATTGTAAAATTGACTGTGTCCATAAAATGTAGATAGTGGGTATGGGCTGGAAGTAGAGGCCTAGGCGTTGGAGTAAACTAGTGAACAACAAGTGGGGAAAGGGTGGCGGGGTTGGAAAGTAATAAAGGGGAATATATATATTTTTTTAAAGGATATGTATGTATGTGGGTGTGTATATGTTTAAAAAATACACAAAAAAGAAAAGAAAAAAGAAAACAATAACTGATTCGATAAATTGAATGAAGTGCTGCGCATAGCCTATATATGAAGGGCCTACGTGTATGAACTTTTACAGTGAATGCTTTTGTATATACGCTTTGTGCGAATGATTTGAACATCGCCAAAATGCGTCCTAAAAAAAAGATTGTGCCTATTTAATGCAACCCTTGCTCTTAATATATCGCAAAGCAGCATTACAACGGACCTCATTTACAGTACATGTTCTCATCCATAGCTTAGAAACGCAGATCCAGTTGACGTGTGCTGTGTAGCTCACATCTGAAGGCTGGGGGGCATTTAGGACGTCTTCTACTGCTGATCGCTAAAATATCCTAATGATTACGATCACACTTCCTCAATTCAAATATTTTGGCGACACTATACCAAAGATGGTTTGGTATGGTTTAGAGACTTGGGAACCAATCTTGAGTTATCTGTGTAGCCCTGTTATCGCCTGGACTTGTTGAAATATCTTCACGCCTAGATAAAGACCTCCAGGCTTCCGTCATAACTGTCAATTTATAAAAAAGTAACAATTATAGAGGGCAGTTTGGAAAAAACAAATCCAGTCCGAATCGTCCTCTGGAAAAAATACATAACCAACGTTCTCTAGTAATACTAGTGCGGATAGGGCTGTAGTGTAATATCATAAAGAAGACGCATTTCCCATAAACCTATTCATATGATCTCCTCCAGGGAGTGAAATGGTGCCTTCTGGCCAATGAAGAGGTGCCCTCCATGATCATGGCCATCACGGGCCGACGCGGCCGACCTCCGAACCCTGACAAAGAGAAGCCCCGCCCCCGAGCTCGGCGCACCAAGGGCGGGCTAGTCCGAAAGCCCGGCAGGCCGCCCAAACCAAAGATGGTAGACCTGCTCAGCAAGGTTGACGCCAGAATGCTGGAGAGGCTGGAGGCCAAGGGTGAGTGGGCATAGCCTGGCGAAATGAGTCTGTGTTCTCTGGTTGGAAAGTAGGCCACTATACAGACTGATTCAATGGCAAGACAGGATCAGAAACATCATATTATAGAATATGGCTGCATCAAAAAGCTTCTATTAGGTTGGGGTTTTGACGTCTTGAATGTAAATGTTTGATCTTTATTTTTAGAAGCTCTGACTGAGGAGGACAAGGAGAAACTTGTCAAAATCAAGAAGAAAATGAAGAGAAAGGTATGGTATACCAAGTATCAAAATCTGAAGACTAAAATTGCATGTTGGTGGTGTTTTCAGGTTGCCTCCAACACACTAAGTCAAGTTGTTCCTCTCTTCTAGGCAAGGATGAAAAGAAAGGAGGATAACAAGAATAAGAAGATCCGACAGGAGAAAAAGCAAGCGAAGGTAAGGATTTCTTTTTTTCTGACCAAAACACTAATCGGTCTCCCTCTTTATCTAACAAACCCCTCACCTCCTGTGTTCCCTGTGCTCAGCTTGACAATGCAAATGAGACCAAGGACCAGGAGGAGGTGAAGGCTGAACCAGCCGACCAAGAGCCCCCACAGCCTGCCCCCCCACAGCCGCTCGCCCCAGAGCCCAAAAAGCGTGGCCCTAGGAAGAAGAAAGCTGAGGTGCCTTTACCGGTTGTGGAGACGGACCAGGAGAGGGTGGCCCAGGGGAAGAGAGTGCTGGGGGCCAGGAGTAAGGCCAAGGCCCTGGCTAAGGCCCAGGCAGAGGCGGAGGCTGCAGCCCAGGCGGCCCTGGCAGCTAAGAAGCAGGTGGAGAGGAGGGCCCAAGCCCAGAGACGGCTGGAGGAGAGGAAGAGACAGCAGATGATCCTGGAGCAGCTGAAGAAGCCCACTGAGGACATGTGTCTCACAGACCACCAGCCCCTTCCGGAGCTGTCTCGGATCCCTGGCGTGGTTCTCTCTGGCATGGCCTTCTCCCACTGCCTGGCTGTGGTGGAGTTCCTGCACAGCTATGGCAAGGTTCTGGGCCTGCACATCCCCAGGGACGTGCCTAGCCTCAGCACACTGCAGGAAGGCCTCCTGGGCCTGGGAGACAGCCAAAGCGAGGTCCAGGATCTGCTCATCAAGCTGGTGGAGGCCGCACTACACGACCCAGGCCTGCCACCGTACTACCAGGTGTGTATTGTGGACTGTATGGAGCTAGTATTGGAGATGGGTGTTCCTGATTTTTTGTTTGCCAAAGTGCTGTCTCCATGTTGACATTTTACTGTTAGCAATAGTTTACCATTTAAAAAATGTAGCTGTACATTGCATGTAAACGCTACTTCAACAGATGAACCAGTTCAACTTAAAAAATCCCCCCCCCTCTCCCTTCCCCCTCCAGTCGGTGAAGATCCTAGGGGAGAAGCTGGTGGATCTGGAGCTGACTCGCAGCACGGTGTCCGAGGGCCTGAGAATCTTCCTGGAGTCCCACGGCTTTGACATGGAGGTGTGCAACGTGCTGCGGACCAAGACCTTCCACGCCCTCAGCCCCGACACAAAGGCTGCTATCCTGGGCTTCCTGGTGGAGGAGCTCAACGGTAGCAACATCGTCATCAGGTCAGGGTGACAATACACAGAGAGAAACTAAGGAGCTGCTAACAACCGTCATGCCCTCACTACCATTACTGCTGATATTTGCTTAATGAAGTATCCTAAGTATGATGCAAATATTTTTGACAATGGAAATGTGTCAAAAGAAACCCCTTCTGGAAAGGATTTCCCACATTTAAGTGATACCTGTTTGTATGCTTTTGCATTGCAGTGAAATTGACAACACACTGGAAAACATGGCTACTTACAGGAAGAACAAGTGGATCATCGAGGGGAAATTGCGCAAGTAAGACCAGTCACGGCTCCTTGAATTTAGATTTGTCTTAGTTTGTGGAAGGAGTGTGTGTGATACCACTGACGTGTGTGTGTGTGAGTGATTGATATCTCATGTGTGTAATCTGACGTGTGTGTGTGCTCCCACAGACTGAAGGCAGCTCTAGCACGGCGTACGGGGCGGTCTGAGGAGGAGCTGTGTCTAGAGGAGAGGAGGCGCAGTGCCAGGGTAGCAGAGGAGGAGAACCTCAGTCTAGAGGAGAGCGGCCCCATGGAGAGGGGTCGCCGCGCACCCAAGGAGGAGCCCAAACTCGGCGACGTACGTGTGTGTGTGTGTGTCAGACTCAATGTGGTGGTGAGGATGTCTGTGCTATACTCACCAAATGTCCTTTCCACAGACTGACAGCCCCACCAACGCCAGCGTTCCAGAGTTGGAGAGGCAGATCGATAAGCTAACTAAGGTAAGGCTAACATACTCTGCAGTTCATCTTCCGCATTAGTTTTTTCTGTCGCGTCTATACTGCATCCGTCAGTGTAACTACATTGTGTGCGCAGTTCTGGGTTGTTTTGAATGAGCAAAAAGTCACCCTGAGTATGTTCTCTCCTCCACAGCGGCAGGTGTTTTTCCGTAAGAAGCTGCTCCAGTCGTCCCACTCCCTGCGTGCGGTGTCTCTGGGCCAGGACCGGTTCCGCCGGAGATACTGGGTCCTGCCCCACCTGGGAGGGGTGCTGGTGGAGGGGCCTGAGGAGATCCTAGGTGAGTAACAGAGCAACTGCCCTCAACCCTCTGCTAGCCAACAAAAAAATCTTTAGCATATTTTTATTGACTCTAAATATATCTCTCCTCTCTCTCTTTCTCTCTCTTCTCTGTCTGGTAGCATCAGAAGATATCCTGGTGAAGGAGGTGCCCATCACTCTTCTGAAGAGGGAACCCAAAGTGGAGGAGACGCCCACTCCCACTGCCCCCCTCCCCTGCTCTCCCTCTCCCCCTCCCAAGTCCCAGACCTCCCCCCCACCCGAGGAGGACCCCCTCCCGGGCACCGCCTCTCTCATGAGCAGCCCCAGGGCCCGGGGTCGCCCCCGCAAGATCAAACCAGAGGTGGAGCTACACCTCCGCACTGCCAAGTGTCGCAGCCGTCGCCGTAGCAGCAAGTCTGGCAGGGAGGAGACTGGGCCAAGAGTTGCCCCGGAGACCACCACCAACGGAACACAAGACCTCACTCAGTCCGCTTTCCACAACTGGCTCAGCCAGTCGCAGGGTGCCATAACTAATGGGACGGAGCCAGCAACAAGGGCGGCACCTGAAGGCAGCCAACCAGAGGACAGTGTGAAGGAGATGGCGGAGAAACAAGGGCAGTGGTTCAACTTGCTGCCCAAACAGCCCTGTGACAAAACCTCTCTGACAGAACCCCAGACCCCCCCCAGCACGCCCCCCAAACGCCTCCCTCTGACCCCCAGCACCCTGCCCGCCCTCGCTGCACCACTGCTGCAGGTGAGTCCCAACCTCAGTCCCCCTCAGCCCCTTGCGCACTATCCAGGACCCTCATGGGAGAGAACACTCTACATACATTTTCATATGATCTCTTATTATGATCTCTTTCTCCCTTTCCCTCTCCAGTCTGTCCCAGCCCCCTCGGACTCCCCACCCCAGGTGACCCCTACCCAGACCCCCACCCCAGCCAAACCGGGGCGCAGGCGGAGGAGGGGCAGCAGGGGCAGCAGTCCCGCCCGTAGGGTTGGAGCTAGAGGGGCTGCAGCTAAGCGTCGTGGCCGCCCTCCTTCCACACTCTTCCAGGAGATAGAGCAGCAGTACTTCACTCAGCTCGTGGTCAAGCCCATTCCAGCATGTAAGCCTTCAATCCTTTCAGTTCAAGCCCATTCCAAAACCACTGTAGTGACATGTATTGAATTTCCTCACTGTGGTTTCTGATTAGACTTGTCAGCAATGTAAACATGCTGCAATTTGAGCTGTTGATTTGGCTAACATGATTATGTATGGTTAGCCAAAGTTGCTAGCATGTTCTACAAGATGTAATCAGTAGTGGTTGGCCGATATGGCTAACATGGTTACCTAACATGCTATGCTAGGTGTGATGCGGGTGTCTAATGTGTGTGCTGCTGTTGTGTTAGTGATGGTGCGTGGCTGGTGGTGGATCAAGGAGCCAGAGGAGCTGACAGCCACCCTGCAGGCCCTGCACCCGCGAGGCATCCGGGAGAAGGTGCTCCACAAACACCTGTCCAAACACATGGACTACCTGGCTGAGGTCTGCACACGGCCCATCAACGGTGAGGAAATGAACACTGGTCACTCAGTCAGCTATAGGGAAAGATGCGGATATGAAAAGTCGCAGTGTGTGTCAGATTGCTTGTGTTTTATAGTGGAGCTGCTTTTGACATCAATGAGACTTGGTTTAAATAAGGTTTAAAAAGTATGGTTTTGTAATGAATGGAAACTGGATGATGACACTTATTTCCTTGTATACCTTTCGCTCTCTATCCCTTCACCCTGTCCTCTCACCAGACCCTATATTCCAGGTGAAGGTGGAGGAGGGCGAGGCCCTGCTGGAGGCCCTGCAGCAGCCGTGGCAGGTCCAGGAGCGGGCCCTGGAGACAGACGTTAGCGCCCTCCGCTGGGTGGAGGACCTGGAGCAGAGGGTCATCGCCTCGGACCTGCACCTCAAGGTGAGGCGCCAGGGGGACAGTGGGGCCGTGTTGCAATAGTCTAAAGTGGCTTCATGTCTTTGGTTCCATGCCTTTCCCTACACAGACCTGGAAATACAATTGGGGGAGAGGAGATTCCCAAATAAGTCACCCCCACATTTACAGAGTTTTCAGATCTGTGCTGACCAAGTCGAGGAAGACACTTTAGACTGTTGAGATGCACCCAGGGATGCATGGGTAGAGTGGGTGGTCGTTAGTAAAGTTGGATATGCGTTTGGTTTTGGAATGTCCAGAGCTTAATCGTTTTTGTCAAGTTTTACTATGGCTGCAGTTGCACTGAATGTCCAGAGGGTGGCGTAGGTGGGCTGTGCTGCTGTAGTTCGTACAGAGTGACTGTGTCCCCCCCTCCCATGTCGTAGTGTCATGCAAAAAGAGGTCACACTCATCACATCACATGTCCATGACTTATATTTCAAGATGGCTCCCCAGAATGGAAGGAGTGACACTGACAATAGCACGGAAACGCCAGGCACAGGATTCCAGGTACAAACCAGGTTTTAGATCTACTGTTCACACATCCTCACCCTGCTTTAAGATCTACACTCGTTCACAAGTCTTCATGTTTCCCCTTTTCCTCCTCACCCTGCTTTAAGATCTACACTCGTTCACAAGTCTTCATGTTTCCCCTTTTCCTTTAGAATTCTTTCTGTCACAATTCCACTTTTCCTACACCTCTTAAAATGACATGGAGACATCCCAAATGTCAGATAATGTGTAGAATTCTCACTTTAACACCCCTGCTCCTAACTGTTTGAAGTAAGAGCTGTCTGTCTCTATGCTCCTTATATTCACCCTGCCTCTGTCCTTTTTAGGGGCCTGCTGTAATGTTGTTAATTAGTTTGCGGTGTAAAAAATGTATCGTTTGATGTCTGCACTTGATGTCGCTTACCTTACCTCACAACCCTTTGAGTCTTTCTCTAGCTTCAAAGTCCTTTGCTAACTGCTTTTTGGTTGTCGAGAACTGTAATATAATATTTTCTGTCATTCTCCTCCATCCCCTCAGCCCTACACGGTCCCAGAGGCGGACTCCACGCGTGACGACCTGCAGTACTACGAGCATGACGCCGACCCCCGGGACGACTGGATCGTGCGGACCAAGAAGGAGTGGTCGGACCTGCCCCGCGTGGCCAGCCACCCGCTGGACCTGGCAGTGCTTCGCCTGGCCAACCTGGAGAGGAACATCGACCGGCGCTACCTGAAGGAGCCCCTCTGGAACCTGGCCGAGGTGGTGCGTCTCGCCCCCCTCACCCCGGAGGAGAGCCAGATGGGCCAGATGGACGTCATGAGGTGAGAGGGAAGGGACAGGGTCGAAGTCAGGCTAGGGGTCAGAGGTCGGAAAGGGTGGAGTGGACGGGAGCGTGATTTAGTCAGAATAGGATGGATTCGATTTGTGTAGCATTTCGTCTAATTGCTCATAGCACTTCAGAGCGATTTAAACCTTTTTCTCACTTCAGCTCTTAATTGTGTTTATTAACCCCTGTTTCTGTCATCTCTTCCCCCCCCCCCCCCCCCCCCCCCCCCCCCTCTCTCCAGTCTGGAGAGTGAGATCACCTCCAGGTTGCGGACATGGCGTCAGGCCCTGGACCGCTGTCGGAGCGCCCCCCAGCTGTGTCTATGTCTGCTGCAGCTGGAGAAGGCCATCGCCTGGGAGAGATCCGTGGTCAAAGTGGTGAGGACAAACCCACTAGCAATGCTCAATATGTACACTGAGAATAGAAACCATTGTTATAAAGGGAGGGATGGATGTAGGTGAAACAAGCAATATAGAACATTTGCTGATGAGACCCTTTAGCAGACACTTTGATCCAAAGCAGCTTCCAGTAAACACATGTAGTATATTATCATAGTCTGAAAGACAGCAACAGAAAGTTTGTCTTAAAGACTACCTGTGTGTTGGTTTGTTGTTGTAGACGTGTCAAGTGTGCAGGAAGGGGGATAATGATGAGTACCTGCTGCTGTGTGACGGCTGTGACCGCGGCTGCCACATGTATTGCCTGAGGCCAAAGGTCACCCAGGTGCCAGAGGGGGACTGGTTCTGCCCCACCTGTGTCTCCAAGGTGAGGACTGACTGGGGCTCTGCTCGGCTACCCTTATGGACCACAGCAGTGGTCACTGGTCACCTAAAGGGCGATCCACAGCTTACTCCGTAGTTTAAAGGGCGTGCCTGCGTTTGCCAGAGTCTGATTTTTGGGGATCAATGTATACCTTTTGGTAACGTGATACTTCGCTGGTCCATGCGTTCCTAGACTCCCAAAAAGCAACATTCACACGGGCGATAGCAGTGATTTTCTTGTCTTCCCTTGCTAGCTAGCTGGCTAGAAACAGCAAGCTAGCTAGCCTTTTAGCTTCCCAAATCACCATGTGAAATAATCTGATTTATAATAAAGAATTATGCCCTGGCTAACCTACAACATTATAACCTACAAAATTGTAACCTACAACATTGTGACCTACAACAATATCCCAGTTTGATATGCTGCTTGAATGTATTCGCTCCCATCTAAGCTAAAAATAGAATGTCATAATTTTTGCTCATGTTGTAAAAGCACATGGCTAACAGCTGTTTTTACCCTTTTAAAATAACCTAGAATCACATAGTCACATAATCATTTAGTTTTATTTAGTTGTATTTATTTGCACCAAAGAAAATAAGTGATAGACAACAATACAGATAAAAAAATTAATTTCAATTAAAATAAACGATGTGCAGGTGTGGTTGGAAGCCTAAGAGCTTATATGAAAACCACACCACAAAAAAACGATATACAATACATAAGTACAAAAATAAAAAAGGTTTGATAAAACAGATAACAAAACCTACTAAGTATAAATGAATTGATCAGTAATCACAACAACAACAAACAAAACAATATATATATATATATATATATATATATATATATATATATATATATATATATATATATATATATATATATTTGTTTTGTTTAAATGTGAGTGTGTGAGAGTTAGGCTATAAGGAGGAGATTATTGAGTAGTTTGGTTCATCAGGCTGACCCCCAGAAGTTATTGAGGGATGATGTTTTGGAAATGTGAAGATAATTATATAGATTGAATTCAGAATCAACCTGGAAGAATCCATTGAAGGGTTTAGGTAAACGGTCTGTGAGGTATGAGTATTTGTAGATGAAAGTGCATAATTAGCGTACATTAATGTCGTAAATTGACAAGATATTGAGTTTCTTAAATAAAGGTGCAGATGGAGCCAGGTAATTAGGAGGTGGCTAGTCTTAAGAATTTATTTTGTATAATGAGTAATTTGTGTAGGTAGGAGGCATACTGTATGTACTGGCCAGTAAATGAAATATGGGTAAATGAAGCTATAGTATAGAGTTAGCAAGCAAACCACTAATCTTTCTGATGATACCAACAGATTTCATCACTTTGCTGCAGTCAAATGTAATATGATCTTTCCATGATAACTTTTCATCAATTAAAACTCAGAGGAATCTAGTGGATGTGACTTGTTCCATTTCATTCCCACCTGTTGAGATTCTGGCTTAAAAAATATATATATATATTTCTTATTCTTACTAGTGAATACAATAAAGTTGGATTTGTTAGCATTTAAAGTGAATTTGTTTATCTGGAACCATTCAGAAAATGTGGCCATGACTGATTTGGCTTCATTAATTAGTGATTCAAAATTCTTGTGTGGTAAAATCAAATTGGTATCATCAGCAAAGAGAATGGGAAGTACGGTAGAAGACACAGCAGCAATGTCATTGATATAGATTGGGAATAAAAAAGGCACGCCACAGGATATTTTGACCCTGGTAGATGCACAGCCGTTTGCATAAACACATTTTTCTTTATCATAAACATAACTATATAGGCAATTATATGTATAATCATGAAAACCGTAATAATATAATTTAGAAAATAATATTTCATGATCAACCGTGTCAAATAGTTATTACTTCTAAACAAAATATATTTTTTGGGGGGGGGGATTCTAATAAGGCTACAATGTTGTTTGGTTTATTCTTTGAACAGTCGCTGAGATTATATTTGGTTATCTAAGCAAAATAGGCTATGTATTTGATGCATAGTCTATAGAGAAGATCAAGGAACAGCGTTTATACTTTCATCACTTTTGTTTTCAGATTTGTAGCAACACTGGTACTTATTTTCAGTGGTGGAAAAAGTACTGTGTTGTCATACTTGAGTAAAGTAAAGATACCTTAATAGAAAATGACTAAAGTGAAAGTCACCCAGTAAAATACTACTTGAGTAAAAGTCTATAAATATATTTGGTTTTTAATATACTTAAGTATCAAAAGTAAATGTAATTGCTAAAATATACTTAAGTATCAAAAGTAAAAGTATAAATCATTTCAAATTCCTTATATTAAGCAAACCAGATCACACCATTTTCTTGTTTTTTTAATTTACTGATAGCCAGGGGCACACTCCAACACTGACGTAATTTACAAACGAAGCATTTGTGTTTAGTGAGTCCACCAGATCAGAGGCCGTACGGATGACAAGAGATATTCTCTTGATAGGTGTGTGAATTTGACCATTTTCCTGTCCTGCTAAGTATTGAAAATGTAATGAGTACTTTAGGGTGTCATGAAAAATGTATGGAGTAAAAAGTGCTTCATTTTCTTAAGGAATGTAGTGAAGTAAAGGTTTTAAAAAATATAAATAGTAAAACACAGATACCCTAAAAAACTACTTAAGTAGTACTTTAAAGTATTTTTACTTAAGTATTTTACACCACTGCTTATTTTTTTTAGCAGTTTAAATTTGTAGATGTAAAGTTAATAATTTTGTTAAACAACTTGTGCCGAAACAGGAAGCAAATAGATTTTTTTGCTTCCATTTCAACCAAGCAAGTTTGGTGGTAAAATACAGCTTCATTGTCTACACAACATTGCCCCCACCGCAGCGCAAGGAATTATCTGTTCAGTTTCCAAATTATTCTTTTAAAAATATTTTTCTATTGCAGATTTGTTATATATATATTTTTTTTAACAAAGAACAGCTACAACCCACCTACCCCAGTCCCACCCTCCTTTCCACCCCATAAAAAAAAATACTATTAATGTAAGGTGCATACATGTTGTTTAGAAAACTATTAATATCTTCATGTCATAAATGAGCCGCCCATTTTGTGAAGAAAAACGACATTCACATACTGCGTTGAGTTTCGTTTTGTTCCAGTCTGCCGAGCCTCTAACCAGGGGGGAGGGGTCAGAAGGGTGATGCGTAGAAAATAGACATCTGCATAAAAGGAAAACAATGTATAAAACTCTCTATAATAGTATTTTTAAATAAGTTATTTTTTAATATATATAATAGAAATAGCTTTTTTTTTAAGGAAAGAAAAATAAAAAGAGTAGAAGTTAAGTGTGAATAAATTGTTCAGGTAATCTTACTAGTCATATTAGAAGGAATAGTGTATCTATTGCCATAGATGCTAGGTCAACTAACTGTATCATTCTCAATCTTAACTGTATGGGAGACAAATCAGAAAGGTTATAGCTAAATGTAATTGTTTATACTTATTTAAGTGTAGTAATTGTTCATTCAGTGGGAAGGGTAGAGAGATGATCGTTACAACTGCAGAGGACATCATTTTCATAAAGGTCTTTAAAGCTTATCAAGCCTTTGCTTTTCCACATACAAAAGGCAGAATCCAAAGATGAAGGGGGGAAGAAATAATTTGTTGCAAATGGGTCCCAGTACAGAGGGGCCTTTAAAACCAAAATGGTTCCCAAACTGTGTCCAGATTTTAAGAGAAGAAACTACAACCGAATTAGAAGTAAATTTGGATGCTGTAATGGTCTAGTGGAGCTAACAAGGGAAGAGAGAGAGGAAGGCGGCAGGACCAAGCTTCTAGAAGGCACCAGTCGGTCTCAGGGGCATGAAGCCAAAATGTGAGTTTCTGAATGTTGGCAGCCCAATAATAGAATATGAAATTGGGTTACGCTAAACCACTTTCTGAGTGGTTTATTTGAAGCGTTAGTTTTTTTGATTCTGGGAGGTTTGCTATTCCAGATGAAGGTAGATATCAGCTGCTCCAGAGATTTGAAAAAGCCCCTTTCAAAATTTGAGCGGAGCAAAACTGAGTTGAAAGTGAGGTAGGCAGGCCTACGTACTACAAGGAGCCGCCCATTTTGTGATGAAAAACGACATTCACGTACTGGGTTGAGTTTCGTTTTGTTCCAATATGTAAAGTGTGCCGAGCCTCTAATCAGGGGGGAGGGGTTCAGAACAGTGATACATTCAGAATGTTGCAGATTGAGAAGCTAGTAACTTTTTGAAAATTCAACCAAAAAGCCACATGGATGCAATGTCGTTACAATAATAATATATAATGAAACGACATCTAAACGTTGACCCAACCAATTGTCTGCCCTGTCGGTTTGGCGAATTTCATTTGAAACTGAACCATTATTAAACCATAATACTGTCAGTAGCAGTGAGTCCCTTAGGCCTAGTCTTGCTAATACCAGCTTCTCTACCCACAGCTCGCTGTGTAGTCACGTGGGTCGCGCGTCAGCCAGGTTAACTTAGGCCCTCCTCTCCTTCAAAACCTGCTACTCTGTAAAGAGTCCTCCTTAACCTTTCCCCAGGGCCGTTATTTACTCACTGTGTCCTGTTGATGTTTATAAGGTGAGTGACGGTGAGTCACCACGTAGCAGCCAGCGCTCCTCCAAGCAGAGGACCCGGGTGAAGAAGAGGAGGTACGAAGACGACAGTTCTGACGAGGAGACGGTGCCCAGCAGACGCGGCGTTGATGGCATGGCAATGCGACATAAGGACGGTGGCCCTGCCTCATCCTCCTCCTCCCGTTACTCGGGAGACGGGGGAGGCACGACGGGCTTCTCGCCTGCCAAGCACCGCCGCATGACCACCCGCAACCAGCCTGACCTCACCTACTGCGAGTGAGTCTGACCTTTAGATCAGTTATCTCCTCAGTGTTAGTTGTTATAGGACCACGAGATTCCATTACTGACCTCAGATCAGTTCTTGTCACAGTGTTACACTGGTTTCTGTAGGACCAGTTCTAACTGGCGTGTTGTGTGTTTGTGTGTAGAATCATCCTTATGGAGATGGAGTCTCACGCTGACGCCTGGCCCTTCCTGGAGCCAGTCAACCCCCGCATGGTGCCTGGCTACCGACGCATCATCAAGAACCCGATGGACTTCCTCACCATGAGGGAGAGGCTACTACAGGGAGGGTACAGGGCACTCCTTCACTCTCTGTCTGTGTGTCAGTCTACAACATGACCCAAACTTCCATAAGGAGGCCGGTTCCTTTCATTTTCCACAATGTTACTGAAAACCTGTAACCTTATATTTGACCTGTCTTTTTCCCCTCTCCTCCCCTGCTCCCAGGTACTGCAGCTGTGAGGAGTTTGCAGCGGACGCCCATCTGGTGTTCAACAACTGCGAGCAGTTCAACGAGGACACGTCCGAGGTGGGCATGGCCGGACACTCCATGAAGCTCTTCTTCGAGAACCGCTGGGCCGAGTTCTACGAGAGCAAGGACAAATAGGAGCCCAGGGCGCTTGTGCTGGGGGTGGGGCCAAGGACAGCGCCCTAACCCCATTGGCTGACTCTCTCCATTACTACTAAGACTGTCTGGGCTGGAGTCTCCTTCAGCTCTGTATAGAGATGTATAGATTTGGTTATTTGTCTGTCGTTCTTGTTTTTCCTTTTTAAAACCTCTAACGTTAGTTACCCTGTTGGGTTGAAATTCTCTGGATGAGAGAGAGGGGGATGTGTCTGAGCTACACCTTCTTCCTTCCCTCCCGCCCTCCCACTGCACCCTCACTTCTGCACCTGACCACCTGTTTGGAATTCTGCTGTCGTTGCATTCTCTCCTAAGCCACACTCCTCGTCTCATAACAAGACCACGGTATTGGTCCATTCCTTACTCTGGGGGCGGGAGGAGGGTCTGAGGGCCTGAGTTGATTGGTTCTCAAACTCTGCCCTCTGTCATGGTCGCGGTCAGGAGGTCTGCCAGACCAATGCGACCGCTTCGCTGCAGACCGGACATGCACTGACCTCGTTTCGACCACAAATGGATCAAAACCCTAAGGTTCTCTCTCTGAACTCACTTAAACACTTTGGGATTGGATCCTCTCTTAACTGTTCAATGGAAATGTAATGTGTGGTCTTATGCCTAGAAGCAATTTTTCTCAATATATTTTTATTATATAGTCTATATATATATATATATATATATATATATATATATATATATATAATATATATAGATATATATAGATAATTATATATGTGTGTATATGTATAATAGTATATGTGTATATGATATATATATGTATATATATAATTATATATGTGTATATATATATATATATATATATATATATATATATATATATATATATATATATATATATATATATATATATAAAGATTACAATAGCTGGGATTATTTAATAGCAATAGCTTGTAGTGAATGTGTACAGACTCCATAGTTGAGATGTCTAGACGATTTATGAAAAGGCCAGTAAAACGAAATGGAAAGGATAGTTTTTTTCTCTGAAGACTGTCACATTATTAGATTTTCTTACATTGTGTAACGTAATCCAACCCCTAACTCACACACACACTCTCCCTCAGACACACACCTATCCTGCTGCTGTGTGAAGGACACTGGGTTTTCCCCACTGCTCCATAATCACAACAAAGACCGGTAGTCACAGCAATGGGAATTGTCAGGTGAAGTGTGTCCATAGACTGTGTGAATAGGACTGAAAAGACGCTACCGCCATTTTAAACCTCTGTTTAAAACACTGTTCGCTTTGTGTTGCAGCTTACCATATTGGTGAAATTGTGCAGAAAACTAGCAAGCTGCTGAAATATTATTGGTTTGCTGTTCCGTAACAAAATGTCATGTTTTTAGCGACATCCTTTCATGGGAAGAATTTTTTGATATTATGGAAAATTGTCACTCAATATTTCTCAGAATGCAGATGGTTTTTTATCACTAAGTTTAAAGGATCTTAACAGGTATTTGGTAAACACTGAAAATGTTCAATCAATTTGAAATTAATGTAGAAACAGAGGCCTGTGCTTCTAAAACAAGAAATCATACCCCCACCCCCAAGCTTAATAACTTTCAAGTTGGGGAGATGCTGTAACCCTTCTTCTCTTTCTGAATACTGCAGAATAACAGGAAATGTGCATTGAGTTTTTTTTGCTTGTAGGTTTCTGCAGCTTGGCAGTAGAGAACAGGCATAGCTTGTGTGTTAGGAGAAAAATGTTGTTCTTGACTCGTACTGAAAAAAGGCTTCTATACAAGTATGTGCACATTTATCTAACGTCACGTTCCTTTTATGAATCAATTTTTTCTCTGAAAAGGGGCCACTGCGCTCCAAAGCGTGGCATAGTTGGTGTGTTATGGGAAAAGGTATGAAGGTGGCAGGACGATACTCCGCAATCCGGGTTTTATTTAAAGCTTCTTACACTGAACTGAAACCAGTCGATAGGAAATGCATTTTTGTGTTCCTTGCTACACAAAAGGGACGTTCTTTTTTCTATATATAAAAAAAGAAAAGACATGAAAATAAAACCAAATGTTGTGTTCAGTGAATTTTTAATAATGTACAGTTTTTGTGACTTTAAATTAGTTCCTTTCTATATTTTTAGGACCAATCTATCATTTTTAAGAGGACGTATTACAAGACCATGTTGTATCGAGGTGATGTAACACGTGTAGAATGTACTGTGAGTTGAATAAAAAACACATATAGTAGAGCGACGACACTCCAACTGTCCCTGGGTCCTCATTTCAATCTCCTTTTGATGTATTTGATTAAATCACAGAAGCAGGCTAGTACAGTAGCCTCCACTTGAATGGAGGTGTAAGAGCGGCGCTGTACACACTCACAGACAACCCTATATACACCTCAGTACCCTGGTGAGCCATGTCTGGAGCACATGCTGCAGGGAAGGCCCTCCTGTCGTCGCCAGCTGGACTTCCCCTTCTTAAATGGGGAAGAGGTCTCAATTCCACCTTTCACACAGAAACCAATATAGGTGTGTGTGCTGATCATTTAGAAGTTGATGCTATAGCAGCGGAAGATAGCGGCGTAACCCTTCAAATACTTTCGACACTATCCGTGCGCTCTCTGTTCTGGGATTGGTGGATGGCCTCGCTCCCTCGTATCCCTTAGCTGGCACTTTGCGAGGGGTTTTAGTGGCAACCAGTTAGAGGTCTGAGTGGGGTTTTGTGTGTGTGTGTGTGCGTGGTTGTGTGAATGGCTGTGTGTGGTTGTGTCAATGTCAGCACTCTGGGTGGAGGGGACTGAAAACTCCCCAGCCAGCGGGTTCCACTGCTTGACCCCACCCATCCTGCCCCACACGGGGGCTTAGCTCCACAAAAGGGGGATAACAGCGCCCGGGGAGGGGGGTAATCCACCCCATAATGGGGCATGCTACTGCTCCCCCAACCAGTTCATTCTGGACCGGGTCTTGTACAGAGTGGGCCCCTGAAGCCTAGGGGGCTTCTCTTGGCCATTGACCTCGTACGGTCCCCTCTTGTCCCCCAAACACCCATATATCAGCCAGGTCACCCACTGGGAAGAGGTGTTATCTAGTGTCATCTTGGCATCATTTAAGCCTGATCCGTTTGATCAATGAGTTCCAATCAAAACTGTCACAGCCTGTTGCACACACGTCACAACTTGAGACTCATGGACGTGCAATTTGGTTCATGACTTGACTTTATTGCAAGGAACATTTTTATAGAATGGTTATCAAATACCCCAAAAAGGTAAATACATTGTGAATGTTAAAACACAGGAACTCTTTGTGTGTTTCTTTAGGGAGGATCTTCACAGGGATATTTGTTTCCTATCAAAGAGGATGAAAAAAAGCATCAACTGAGCCAGCATCACAATAAGCGCCATGGCAACTGCATCATGAAAGAGACTGTCTCCATGGCGATTCCAATGGCACCTCACAAGTAGGTTAATGAAAGAGAAAAAAGGAGGGGTGGGAGGAGATGCCATGGTGCGTGGGAGATGAACAGTTAGATATTAGATAATTGAAGATAAACTGAGATTAGATAGAATCTTTTGTCCCTTTTTAATCCCAGTAAAGTGTTCAGTTCTCTTCCGTGTGGAAGGATTGTGACGTCATGGTCAACCTTTCACTGTCCTTCAATCAGATACCCCTGCACTCATCCCACTATCACTGCAGTCTCTATCTCTCTCTCTCTGCCTCTGTTTCTCTATGCCAACGTGATAACTTTGTTACAGCTATCAATCATTCAAAAAAGTATTGAATACAATATGTGTGATAGATTGACCTTGTGGTTGGATCGAGTCAAACTGTACCCATATACAGTTGCTGATCAATTCATCCCATAATGTGGATGCTGTAATTGTGTTTGGAAATGATATGGCCTGTTCATGAAATGGCTCCTCTAGCTCTCTCCATCTCTACTCAGTAATGGGCCTCTCCTCAGTGTCATTGATATGAAAATGAGTCCGAGGAACTATGATGTGTGCCAGGTGCTCGGGACACTCCAGCTGAGCTCAGCCCAGGAGGAGAAGCCCTCGCCTGGGGAACATCGCCTCATACTGGGGGAGGGGGACTGTCAGTGGTGACCAAACACACTTGACAATCATTCCACCTAATTCATAACACACAGGTAGGAGGGGGGAGGCAAAACGTAGAGGAAGGGGGTCAGTGTAAGGAGGGGTGAGAGAGAGGGGTGAGGAGGGGGATAGAGAGCGGGGGCAGTCCTCTTGTGTTGTGGTAGGGCCACTCAGACGCTCCTTCGGGGAAAGACCAGTCACACAGACGAAACACACGGACAGAAGTAGAGACAGGCAGACAGAGAAAAGGATCCCGCAGATCAACAGGACAGAAGGACAGAAACAGACGGACGGACAGAAAGACAGATAACTACGCACTCAACCTGCTCAACATGACACTGCGTGAGGTGAGTTTAAAAAAATTTTTTACTTTTCCTTCCTACTTATAACACAACTTATAAAGCTTTATCGAACGTTCATAAAGTTTTCATAAACCCTAGATAGATGCTTACTTTTCCTATATCTTACTTCACCTGTAATTAACTAATGTTGGTCCAAGAGAACCAATTATGATTTACAATGACAGCCTTGTGAGAGTGTGGCTGTGTGTGTATAAAAAAAACTGCTTGGTTTTACCACCGGTTGGCAAGAAGTGATTGGACATTATCAGGCAACTAGTCAAGTGATTTTAATAACCTGAACCTTTGATCAACATGGCGGTAAGGTCTCTTCAGACATTGATAATGATCAATCCTCAGATTAGTACCATAACTTGACTATAACCTGCTAGGCCATTTGATTTGGATAGTGCCCACATCTACCATAATCTAATGATAAGTGTTCAGGATGAGATGAGCCGAAAGGGAATTATCAGAGAGGCGTGGGTTGGTTAGCATGCTAATAGTACTCATATATTTATATTCAAGACACTGGGTTTGATATGGTATTGACAATAGTAGTTTAATGCTATATCCTCCTGAGAAAAAAAACCTTAAGATTATTTTAAAAATATATATAGTTATCTTTTATTGTCCTCTGTAGTGGTCGTTAAGACATAAACATGTTTATTTTTTACATTACAGTCAATGGGTATAGTACGTGAAAAACATACAGTGCCTTGCAAAGTATTCATCCCCCTTTTCCTATTTTGTTGCATTACAACCTGTAATTTAAATGGATTTTTATTAGGATTTCATGTAATGGACATACACAAAATAGTCCAAATTGGTGAAGTGAAATGAAATAAATAACTTGTTTCACAAAATTATAAAAAAGAAATAACGGAAAAGTGGTGCGTGCATATGTATTCACCCCCTTTGCTATGAAGCCCCTAAATAAGATCTGGTGCAACCAATTACTTTCAGAAGTCACATAATTAGTTAAATAAAGTTAACCTGTGTGCAATCTAAGTGTCACATGATCTCAGTATATATACACCTGTTCTGAAAGGCCCCAGAGTCTGCAACACCACTAAGCAAGGGGCACCACCAAGCAAGCGGCACCATGAAGACCAAGGAGCTCTCCAAACAGGTCAGGGACAAAGTTTTGGAGAAGTACAGATCAGGGTTGGGTTATAAAAAAATATCAGAAACTTTGAACATTCTACAGAGCACCATTAAATCCATTATTAAAAAATTGAAAGAATATGGCACCACAACAAACCTGCCAAGAGAGGGCCGCCCACCAAAACTCATAGACCAGGCAAGGAGGGCATTAATCAGAGAGGCCACAAAGAGATCAAAGATAACCCTGAAGGAGCTGCAAAGCTCCACAGCGGAGATTGGAGTATCTGTCCATAGGACCACTTTAAGCCGTACACTCCACAGAGCTGGGCTTTTATGGAAGAGTGGCCAGAAAAAAGCCATTGCTTCAAGAAAAAAATAAGCAAACACGTTTGGTGTTCGCCAAAAGGCATATGGGAGACTCCCCAAACATATGGAAGAAGGTACTCTGGTCATATGAGACTAAAATTGAGCTTTTTGGCCCTCAAGGAAAACGCTATGTCTGGCGCAAACCCAACACCTCTCATCACCCCGAGAACATCATCCCCACAGTGAAGCATGGTGTTGGCAGCATCATGCTGTGGGGAGGTTTTTCATCGGCAGGGACTGGGAAACTGGTCAGAATTGAAGGAATGAATAGTTAAGCACGCTCAAGTTTTCTGTTTTTTTGTCTTATTTCTTGTTTGTTTCACACACAAAAATATTTTGCATCTTCAAAGTGGTAGGCATGTTGTGTAAATCAAATGATACAAACCCCCCCAAAAATCAATTTAAATTCCAGGTTGTAAGGCAACATAATAGGAAAAATGCCAAGGGGGTGAATACTTTCGCAAGCCACTGTAGTTGTGGCATCGGGGTGTCGACTACAGAGGACATTTCTTGATAAGCTCTTCTTTAGCTCTTATTTAATGTGAAAATATTATTACACTGTCCTGACAACTCACTTAACTATTCCTGATATATTTTCTTTCTAGAAACAATTTGAATATCAAACTCACAAAAATTATAATTAATAATTACACACACTTATTTTCTAATTTCCATAAAATGTGCACATTTTGACGGCAGACATTTTTTAAAGAACCAGGAAGATAAAGTTGTCAAGGTCACACCCCCACATATGTGATATCATTGAAAAGCCCAGAATGTCCTCTCAAAGGGACAACAGGACTTAATACAGTGGCTTGTATGGCCTCAGAGATACGGACAAGAGCTGTCCACTAGAGAGGACAAAAGTGAATTGCTGTGTCTCAGGAGGATAAAAACGTGCCTCTGTTCCCTCTCCCTGAGGAGTTGCGTAGTCGTGAGTTCTGGCGTGCCATGCTGGCCGAGCTGCTGGGTTCCCTGGTGTTTGTGAGTGCTGTTCTGGGGGCCTCTGTGCCGGGCCCTGGAGAGGCCTCCACGGGGCCCCTCTACCCAGCCCTGGCAGCAGGCATGGTGGCTGTTGCCCTGGGACACTGCTTTGGAGAGATCAGCGGAGCACAGGTGAACCTGCCTTTCTGGACTTATGGTTGTGTGTCTGTATGCATGTGTGTGTCTCTAACCTTTCTCCACAGAATTACTGTAAATTGATCACTATGATTGATTGACTATTTTACCTCTATGCCTCTCTCTATCATGGTGCAGGTGAACCCAGCAGTTACCCTGTCTCTGTTGGCCACGCGGAGGCTGGACCTGGTGAGGGCCCTGGTGTACGTGGGAGCCCAGTGTCTGGGGGCCTCCCTGGGGGCCGGGGCTCTCTACCTCGCCCTGCCCCACAAAACCACTGCAGACTGCTTCGTCAGCAGGGTCAGTGTGTGTGTGAAAGGAGGTGGTGGTCTAAATCTAATCATGGACCTGTACTGTTACTCTTTTTGACTTTTTGTTTCACTTGGAACCCTTCTCCTCCCCCACATCCTCCTCCTCCTCCTCCTCCCCCACATCCTCCTCCTCCTCCTCCTCCCCCACATCCTCCTCCTCCTCCTCCTCCTCCCCAACATCCTCCTCCTGCTCCCCCACATCCTCCTCCTCCTCCTTTTTCCCCCTCCTCCAATTCTAGGTTCCTCTGGAGGTGAATGCGGCCCAGGCTCTAGGGATGGAGCTTCTGTCAACGTTCCAGCTGGTCTTCACTGTGTTCTCCGTGGAGGACCACCGTCGGAGGGAGAACACAGAACCAGGGAACCTGGCCATCGGCTTCTCTCTCAGTGCAGGCGTGCTCATCGGGGTCAGAACTGTTCACGTCTGATTCCTCTTATCTCTAGTTTAATTTAGTATAATTTAATAGTTTAGTGTAGTTGAGTGTAGTTTAGTTTAATAGTATAGTTTCGTTTATTAGTGTTGTTTTGTGTAGTGTATTGTAGTGTAGTTTAGTTCAGTTTACTTTACTTACTTTACTGTACTATGCTTTAATCATTGGGTTTGTGTGTGTTGTGGTCCCCTTAGGGTCGGTTCTCTGGAGGCAGTATGAACCCGGCACGTTCCCTGGGTCCAGCCATCATCACTGGCTTCTGGGAAAACCACTGGGTAAGACCCTCCACATCTATTACAGTCACAATATCACCTTGAACTGCATACCGAACACATTCTCTCTCTCTCTCTCTCTCTCTTTCTCTCTCTATCTCTCTCGCTCTCCCTCCCTCCCTCCCTCCCCCTCGCCCTCTTGCTCTCCCTCCCTCCCTCCCTCCCTTCCTCCCCCTCGCCCTCTTGCTCTCCCTCCCTCCCTCCCTCCCTTCAGATTTTTCCCTCTCTCTTCTATCCATGTCTCCATCAGTCCTAACCATTCTCTCTCCCCCTCCTCACCCACCCCTCCCCCTACCCCAGGTGTACTGGATTGGGCCGGTGCTGGGTGCAGTGCTGGCCGGGGTGTCCCATGAGTTCTTCTTTGCCCCCAGTGCATCGAGGCAGAAGCTGGTTGCGTGTCTGACCTGTAAGGACATAGAGATGGTGGAGGTAACCAGCGTGTCCCGGTCCTCCCTGTCCACCGTCACCCAGACCGCCATGAGGGCTAAGCAGGTCAACAAACAGGAGCAAAACTAGAAAGGGACACATCATGCTACACAACAATATACAGTGTGGTCCGAAATTATTGACACCCTTGATAAAGATGAGCAATAATGACTGTATAAAATAAATTATTCAAATAATGAGCTACATTGCCTTCAGAAAGTATTCATACCCCTCGACTTATTCCACATTTTGTTGTGTGACAGCCTGAATTCAAAATGGATTCAATATAGTTTTTTTCTTACCTATCTACATACAATACCCCATAATGATAAAGTGAAAACATGTTTTTAGAAGTTTTTTACAAATTTGTTGAAAATGAAATGCATAAATATCTAATTTACATAAGTATTCACACCTCTTTGCTATGACACTCAAGTGCATTAAATGTCCTTTGATCATCCTTGAGACGTCCGCTACAACTTTATTGGAGTCCACCTGTGGCCAATTAAATTGTTTGGACATGATTTAGAAAGAAACACACCTGTCTATATAAGGTCCCACAGTTGGCAGAGCAGAAACTATACCATGAAGTCCAAGGATCGTAGATCTCTGAGATAGAATTGTGATGAGGCATATATCTGGGGAATGATATAAAACCATTTCTAGAGTGTTGAAAGTTTCCAAGAGCACAGTGGTCTCCATCATCGGGAAATATGGAACTACCCAGACTCTGCCTAGAGCTGGCCATCCGACCAAACTGAGCAACCGGGCAAGAAGGACCTTGGTCAGGGAGGTGACCAAGAACCCAATGACCACTCTGACAGAACTACAGAGTTCCTTGGCTGAGATGGGAGAACCTGCCAGATCGAAAAGTCTCTACAGCACTTCACCAAGCTGGGCTTTATGGGAGAGTGGCCAGACAGAAGCCACTGTCGTCTGATGAGACGAAAATGTTACTCTTTGGCCTGAATGCAAAACCAGGCACAACTCATCACCCATCTAACACCATCCCTACGGTGAAGCATGGTGGTGGCAGCATCATGCTATGGGGATGCCTTTCAGCGGCAGGGACTGGGAGACTGGTAAGGATAGGGGGAACAAGGAATGGAGCCAAATACAGGCAAATCCTTGATGAGAACCTGCTTCAGAGTGCAAAATACCTTAGACTGGGGCAACGCTGGAATGGCTTCAGAACAGGAATGTGAAAGTCCTTGAGTGGCCCATCCAAAGTCTTGACTTGAATCACATTGAAAATCTGTGGAAAGATTGCTGTTCACTGCCACTCCCCATCTAACTTAACAGAGCTTGAAAAAAGAAGAATGGGTGAAAATCCACAAATCCAGATGTGCAAAGCTGATACTGACATACCCAAGACGACTCAAAGCTGTAATCACCGCCAAAGGTGCTTCTACAAAGTATTGACTTAGGGGTGTGAATACTTATGTAAATTAGATATTTATGTATTTTATTTTCAATACATTTGCACAAATGTTCTTTACTTTGTCATTATGGGGTATTGTGTGTAGATCGGTGAAAAAATAATAATATTTAATCAATTTTGAATTCAGACTGTCACACCACAAAATGTGGAATAAGTCAAGGGGTATGAATACTTTCTGAAGTATGCCATAAAAAAGGGGGGAAATTCTATTATTTTATACTAATACAATTGCACAGAGAAAGAGATTTAGTTTAGCAAGTAATATTCTTTCCCCTCAAAAAGGTAGGGGTAAAAGTGATTGACTCCCCTAAAGACTCTTATAAATAAAGTAGTCAAAAGTTTAGTATTTGGTCCCATATTCCTACCACGCAATGATTACATCAAGCTTGTGACTTTACAAACTTGTTGGATGCATTTGCAGTTTGTTTTGGTTGTGTTTAAGATTATTTGTGCCCAATAGAAATGAATGGTAAGTAATGGATTGTATTGTTTTGGAGTCACTTTTATTGTAAATAAGAATAGAATATGTTTATAAATACTTCTACATTAATGTGGATGCTACCATGATTACGGATAGTCCTGAATGAATCGTGAATAATGATGAGTGAGAAAGTTACAGAGGGTCAAAGATCATACCCCCAAGACACGCTAACCTCTCACCTTTACCAATAACAGGGGAGGTTAGCATTCCTTGGGGGTATGATCTTTGACCCTATGTAACTTTTTATCATTATTCTACAATTCACTCGAAAGACAAGGCACTCTGGGAAATATGCAAATAGGACTTTACACTAAGTAGTGTGTTAATTTAACACTGAAAAGTGTGGACCCGTAAAGGCACTGGACCAGTGTTTAATTAATACTGCCCGTGTTAATTTAACACTGGAGAATTTGCTGTTTACATTAGCATAAGATAAATGCAATATTATAAACTGGGTGGTTCGAGCCCTGAATGCTGATTGGCTGACATCTGTGGTATATCAGACCGTATACCACAGGTATGACAAAACATTTATTTGTATTGCTTTAATTACGTTGGTAACCAGTTTATAATAGCAATAACGCACCTCAGGGATTGTGGTATATGGCCAATATACCACGGCTAAGGGCAGTATCCAGGCACTCCACGTTGCGTCAGAAGAACAGCCCTTAGCCACGGTATCTGGGCCATATACCACACCTCCTTGGGCATTATTGCTTAAATGTACAATACGATCATATAATGATGAAGACAACACAGTTATAATTTCAAAATACATGTGAATGTGTAGCCTTCACACTTAGCCACACCATGTAAAATTGGACATACATTATATATCTATTATACCATTTTATCAATATCCAGTGTGATCAGTGATGTCATACTAATTTACACAGAAATATTATATATAACCCAACAACCACTCAAAGAAATGTCTGTTTTGTAACACAGAATCCTTTTATTTTAGCATTACTCATCCTGTCTGTGAATGCTTTGAAATGCTAAAGAGGCTAGCGTTCTGGACTCTGATCATTGACACGTTCACATAGGCCACCGTCTCTGTCATCTTCCTGAGGCTCTCTCTCCTCAAAGCTCTATTATTCTGCTATTCAGTCCTCCCACCAGAGCCCTGTATTGACCCAGGTCTAAATAGGTTGTGGGATCAGCTTTTCACAGACACACTCCCTACCCCCTTCTAAAAGGTTATTGGGTTTGTAATTAGCAATTGTAGGAGGAAAACAGACATTTTGGGGGATGATTTACCTTGAATATGTTTTTGTTTTTGTTACCTGAATTGTTATGGATGTCTCGTTGCAAATGTTTTACTTTTTAAAATGTTTTTGTTAACTGTATAAAGCGATGGATGTTTGAGAATAAAAACTTGGCAATCATTATTGAAACCATAATTTTTTGCACACACGCAAGAGTTGCCTTGTGCCGCCAGCATTTTGCATTGTATTGGTGTTTTTTTCTGTGTATAAAAGAGAGTTAAAATGGTGAGCTCAGCGTTCTCCATTTAAAGCCCACTCTGCCCAGTGATGGCTCTGGACTGGTCAGCTCGATGCTCCAGTGTTGGAGCTCAATAACCCCTGTTTCCCCTGTCCCCCGCCCCTGTCCCGCCCTGTCCCTCCCCCTTTCCCCAGCACCATACAGGGATTTTTCAGGGCTTTGGCTGCTAGCGGGCCACCCTGCCTCTCTCCCCTCCTGCCTGGCACACACCCTCATACACAATACAAACCTCTGCCTAATCAATTCTCTACTGAGCATCCCAGCACCTCCTAGAGAGAGGGAGAGAAAGAGTGAAAACAGATACGTGTCTAAATGATACCCGACTGTTTTGGCAGGGCTGCCCCTTACGTTGCTGATCTTTATAGTTAGGCTATTTTTGTTTGTTTTTAAATGTATTTGTTTCCAAACACTTTGCAGCAGTAGTCAACGTGTATATGTTCATATGCATGCCTCTGTCCTGTGCTTTGGGTGTCAATGTCAAGTTCATTACCTTTAAGACGTTCCCTATTATTGTACATTATATGTAGACATATAAGGTCCCCATGTCATGCTCCCAGACCCAATGTTATGCTCATAGCCCTTAAGTACTGCTTATAACCACTAATGTATGCTTAATACCTCTGTTAATAATGCTGTTTGGATTTGAGGTCAGTGATTAAATGCATTGCTGAGTGTGAGTGCATTCACCTCTACCCAGTAGAGACCACAATGACATACAGACATGATACTAATCTACAGCTGATCATGTCAACCATTCATGTGTTTTCACTCCTTTCTGTGCACAACACACGTTTCCTGACATCTTATCAATTATGAATGATGGCTACAAACATATTTCTAAAAACCAAGCGGTTCCACTGTTGACATGTGGCATACATGCTCAATGCTAAGACAATGGTTTCACAAGGTCAGGCATTTCAGTCTACGGGTCAGTTGTGCACACTGTTGGCATTAGGCTCTTCCGTCTGGGGCCCCCCATGGATCACTGTATTATCTGTGGGTGTGTCCGTTCTCCGCCATCAGCACTTGTTCCCATGGTTATCATGGTTATAACTTGTCAACAGATGACATATGGCACTATGCCAACTAGACAAACTCCCCTCATTACTTCTGTGGGGTTGATATCCATCACTAGTTCTTATGCTCACCCAGTCACTTGCCCTTTCTTGATTCCCTTCTCACTCTCACTATTTTGTCTTCCTCCCTCCCTTCCTTCTCTCCTCGCAATCACCCTCTCCCCTGATACTCTCCCTCTCTTCCCCTCTCTGTCTGTTGTGGGGGGCGACAGAGGGGTTAAGTTTGTTTGATTTTGGCCGTCCTGTATGTCCCCCGCCCCTGGCCCAGAGGGTGGATTATGGCGTCACTTGCGGCCCCTGGGGGGTGTTATAAAGCCCCCGGCGGGCCCTCTCCCCTCCGTCAGAGAGGCTAAAACGTCCACAGGACACTCCGTCTATCCCTGTCTCTATTCTAGAACCACCCCTCTAGCATCAATGCACATCTCTTGACAACTATTCTGAGACACACACTCCTCCCCACACACACACACCCCCCCTATGTCTCTACGACAGGCGGCTAGTGGAGGCAAGCACAGCTGAGTTGATGTTTGACTGCCTACGCGCCAACTCCAGATCGTTCATAGATTAGAAATAGATCTGTCGGTGGATTCTTCTGTCGACTTCTTTAACTGTTTGTCTTCCAACTGATTGGCTCAGTGAGACAGTGTTTAGGTCAGTCCGGCTTTTTTTTTTTTGCATCTGAAACAGTGCAAAAAGATCACACAGACTTTTAGAAGGTACACGCTTTTTCTAGATTCACCCCGACAACTTTTTTTCCAAGAACGTTTTCCGTTCCGAGGAGCGTCCAGTGAACGGCCAGCATGTGGGAGTTCCGGTCCATGGCGTTTTGGCGTGCGGTCTTCGCTGAGTTCTTCGGTACCATGTTCTTTGTGTTTTTCGGCATAGGCGCCGCGCTGCGCTGGACCACTGGGCCTCACCACATCCTGCATGTGGCGCTGTGCTTCGGCTTGGCGGCTGCCACCATCATCCAGTCCATCGGCCACATCAGCGGCGGCCACATTAACCCGGCCGTCACCTTCGCCTATCTGGTAGGCTCCCAGATGTCCCTGTTCCGCGCTTTTTTCTACTGGGCTGCCCAGTTTCTGGGGGCCGTGGCCGGGGCCGCCGTGCTCTATGGGGTCACCCCAAAAAACATGAGGGGCAACATGGCTCTCAACACGGTAAGACACCACCCACCCACATCTCAAATGGCACTGGGCCCATTCCCTATATTCCCTATATGGTGCACTGCAAAATATGTGCACTATATAGAGAATAGGGTGCCATTTTGGACCTATCAGCTCAAATCAGCAAAAAAAAAAATATATATATATATCAACAACAGTTAACAATGTTGATAGGGTTTGATAATTGTTTGGTTTAGGTTCAGTAGGCTTCTTGATGCTAATGGGGATTTAGAAAGGGTAGAGATTAGGGAATCATCATGGAACCTACTGGTAACTACATTTGCTACTGTACAATGAGCACAATCCAAGCCATCAGTGTTATGTAAAGCTGAGGCCTCACTGAGGCCATAGTGGTGAGGCCACTGAATGCATTGATAAAAAAACGAAAAACCGTTGGCTTGATACGCGTTGCATCTTTGATTGAGTTATTCCTGACATGTCCTGTTACAAACTTAACTTGAAGACCACATCTAATTGCGCAAACAATATACACTTTATTAGAAAGAGGACACACTTATTTTACAAAATAACTTGTTCACAAAGGACCTCATGTCTGATTCATATTTTTCTCCTCTGGCCATCTACAGCTGCAGCCTGGTATCAGCCTGGGCATGGGTACCACAGTGGAGGTGTTTCTGACCATGCAGCTGGTGATTTGTATCTTTGCCGTGACGGATGAGAGGAGGAACGGACGCTTGGGCTCTGCTGCCCTGTCCATCGGCTTCGCTGTCACCGTCGGACACCTCATGGGGGTGAGCACACGCACACTGACACTAACACACACTCAGAGTAACACACGCACCGAATACACACACACGGATAGGGGAACACACACAATGCCCAAAACTCTTATATACTTATAGTGGAACACAAACAAAAACAGACTTGCATTGTGTACAACAGAAACACATACTGCATTCTGAATGCCTGGTTGTCCTTCTCTGCCATAGATGTACTACACAGGTGCTGGAATGAACCCTGCTAGGTCTTTCGCCCCTGCTGTGCTCTTCAGGAACTTTGTCAACCACTGGGTGAGAAACACACACAGTCATACACCATAATGCAGAATCTGAAATATTCATATAATAGATCAAATAATCAAATGACAATGGTGGATTCTATGATCTTATAATAATTCAGTATAGCTAATACCAACCTATATCAGCGACAACAATACAAGTTGCTTGTGCCATGTCTTCATGCTAACCTTTGCGTGTGTGTGTGTTGTGTCAGGTGTACTGGGTGGGTCCCATGATAGGAGGTGGTTTGGGCGCTCTTCTGTACGATTTCATGCTGTTCCCCCGCATGCGCGATCTGTCTGAGCGCCTGGCCACACTGAAGGGCAGCCGACCCCCCGAGACGGATACCCAGCAGGACACCCGCGGGGAGCCCATCGAGCTCAAGACACAAGCCCTATAAGCCTGTCCCCATCTGGGGACGAGGGACGAGGGACAGGCCCTGTGTCGACCAACCCCTGTGCTGCCCCCATCCCATCAACACACATACACTCACTCACACAGACTCACTAACTAACACAAAGACACACACACTCACATTGAGACACTGACTAACATGCAGATTCAGACATATACAGTATTGATACACAAACTGTACACACACACATTCACACACATACACAGACAGGTTCACAACCTTCAACCTCAACATGCAACGAGACTCCTCTCCCTCCAACCTCACTCTGTATACTGAATTGGACATTATGTCTCCTCCTCCTTCTCAGCCACACCAAGTCTTCCCTCACACGCCCACACAGACGGAAGGACCAGATCTGTCAGCACAGAAGCATGTGGGTGAGGTGTAGGTGGGCACCCACTGGGCACAGACGTCAATTCAACTCCTATGCCACATTGGTTCAACGTAATTTAATTGAAATGATGTGGAAACAACGTTGATTCAACCAGTGTGTGCCCAGTGGGGATGTAGGTATGGGTGGGGGTAAGGATAGAGGATTGGGGTGTAGATGGGGAAAAGGGGTTGGGGTGAGGATAGAGGGGCAACACTCCAGGTTTTTAGTTGTATAGGGTTGTGTTAGACCAGTGAAGATGGGCATGCTTTTTCATTATGCATCTGATTTATCTCTCTACATTTGTTCAGTTTTTTTCTTCTTCTGCACTTCAGACACTATACGTGGATGTATGATACCATTAGATTTGACCAGGGTTTCATTTTTCAAATCACTTCATTTTATCTGTGTGTGCGTGTGGGTGCTTCTACAGTATGTGTGTGAGAGTGTGTGAGTGAGAGTGAGTGTGTGTGTGCCTGTTTGTGTGTGAGTGTGTTTGCCAGTGAGTGTGTGTTCGTGTGTCCGTATGTGAATGTGTGTTTAATCGAGTTCGCAGAAACAGTACTTTTTATTTTGTTTTATTTTCATTACCACTCTCCTGTTTGTATCATGATTATGTTTCATTACGTTATACATTTTTAAGACATCATTTATCCTCCCTTCACTGTGGTATTTGCTATGATATTCATTTTTACACAAACCATCTGCTTTTTTGTTTTTAAAAAAAACAACACAATCCAAAGGAAATGTTGTATCCCAGACTGGACTGATTCTGTTCACTACAGAATGGCTGTGTAAGCTTTTCATTAAGTCTCCTTTTATGATTTGATCCTTAATGTGAGCATAAGGCAGTTTAAACCATATTTAAATGAAAATAAACACAAAAACTTGATACAAAATGTGTGTCATGTTTTGTTTACACAATTATACCAGTATGGCAATTAGTGCCCTGTGTTGCATTGGCTTGCAGTAAATGGGAATGACTTCAAGATGATGCTCCACACGTTTCAGGTTGCAGAGTTGGGGGTGATGCGGCGCGACAAATTATTCCCCCCAAAATATATTTTTTTATTGATGAAATAGTGCATTGCAGCTGCCTTTGCTTCACAAGTAAGCAGGTTTGTAGTGCTGGGGGAACCCGAGGGACCTCACTTTTTTTAAATTTGAGAATACATTGTACATTTATTCGGATTAATTTGAAATAAATGATATTTAATCACCACAAAAACCCAGAACGATATGTGACCACTTGGTTACAGCGACACCGTTCTGCCAAAGACACCCAAATCAGAGTGGCCACCGCAAAGCCTAAGAGCCTGACCTTCTCTGGAAGTTGATGTAGCCCTGCTTGGGATATTTAGTCTATATTGGCTATTGGTTGAGACGCAGGGCCCGCTCTATCTTGGTAGGCTATGTCAGGGTGAGAAATTGGAAATGTGAATTGGGCCAAGTTGGTAATAATGAAATTAGGTTATAGTTTATTGAGATGCATGAATACACCACACCAAAACCTTGATTTTATGGCTGTTGTAAACGAATTTCCAGCAATTCTATGCATTTTAGTCATTTAGCAGACGCTCTTTCCCAGAGCTACATACAGGAGCAATTAGGGTTAAGTGCCTTGCTCAAGGGCACATCGACAGATTTGTCACCTAGTTGGCTCGGGGATTAGAACCAGCAACCTTTCGGTTACTGGCACAATGCTCTTAACCACTAAGCTACCTGCCACCCTATGTAGTAATGATTTATGTTCACTACTTGGTCAATTGATTTGATGATTAAATCTATGCAAATAAATCATATGAATTGATAGTTCACGCATCTGTTTTATTTTATTCTGTACTAGGGTATATTGTAACCATGTGCTATTGTAACCAGCTGACCTTTAGAGTCATAAAGGGCGCTCCAATCATTTAAAAGAATGTTCATCAAGATCTGGTGCCTATACCCCTAATAGTCCTACTCATCACTTATTACTATTATTATTACACATAGAAGATGATCACATAACGATTAATTCGTATTTTACAAAACAGAACTGAATATAATAGCATAGCATATTAGGTCTTTAAAGTTACTGTTACACCAAAAACACCTCCTAATTTCTAATAAGATTTTAGGATGGTTAGCTGAAGCTGAATAGTAAACAAAAAGATAATGCGCCAAAACCCTAGGCAGGATATATGCTTTGATTGAAACAAAATACAAAAAAGGCTAATAGTTTGTTAACATCATCTGCTCTAATTCACTCACGAAACAGTAATTCAAGCATAGGCTATTCCTATTAAACTAATTGAGATCAATCAAAGGATTGGCATGCAGATGCAGTTTCACCGGTAAAACGTGAATGATTATCATTCATGATTTACAGTGATGATGGCCTATGCCTAATTTGGTGTTTGAAGGTATTAAAAATATAAAAATATTGAGACAAAATGTGTGGCCGCAGGCAGACGTTGCAATTGGTGGATGTATTTTATGCATATTTTATAACAGGGATCTCCAACCCTGTCCCTGGAGAGCTACCATCCCGTAGGTTTTCATTCCAACCCTAATCTAGCGCACCTGATTCTAATAATTAGCTGGTTTATACAATTAATGGGGTTAGTTGCAACTGGTGTCGGACTGAAACCCTATAGGACGCTAGCGCTCCAGGAACACGGTTGGAGAGCCCTGGAATGATAGGCTATTTTAATAGGCTACATGTCTCCGTACAAACTTTGATTGAGGAAATGATGACGTCATGCACTTTTTTTGTGTGTTCCATCATCAAAAAAAAAATAGCGGGTAGTGTCTGTATGTTGCACGTGTTCCCCGCAGGCTTCATCTGAGCAGAAGCCAAAATGCAACCTTTATGTGTTCATTACGAACAGGGTAAATAAAGGGCCTTGAATGACAACACCATGGACAATTCCTCCGATCACCCGGAGATTTCGTGCCGTTATTTTGATCTGCCGCTAACCAGGTTTTAGCCTTCTTCGCCATTTAAATTGTTTCATAGACTACATTTGGATTAGCCTACACTGTAATTCATTAAACTGGACTGGGTTATTTTACCGCACCAGCATTGCAACCCAATGCATACACGATTTATGCAATAAACTGAGATATACCGCTGCGCTACAGAAGGCTATATCTGTCTGCTAATACAGCACTAGTAAAGGTGGATTGCACTACTTTTGTGGACAACAATGTTTTTGCCCACGCTTACAGATGGCTGTATTGGTCTGCTAATACAGGACTAGTAAATGCCCAGTGAACTACTTTTGTGAAATAAAAATAAAAATATATTGTTTTTAATTCTGATTTGTCAGGGGGTGCTTCAGCACAGCTACTTCCCGCGGCCATGAACAGAACAATAAAGAAATGCATCATGTTTCAGGTGTGGGGTGTAGAAGAGGGGGAGGGAGGGAGGGTGTGATACGAAACCTGGTGGGGAACCAGTTTAGAGAAACATACTTATCTTTACTTCACTGTTCTCTCTACATCCCTTTCCTGCTCTCCACTAAGATGTTCCCAAATGTCACTCAAAGCTTAAAGGTCTCCCTTTTCTCATCTATCTATCTCTCTCCTTAATTCTGGTTTCCCTGTCTCTCCCTGTATTCCATGAACCCACTGGTCACAGATGTCAATTCAACGTCTATTCCACGTTGCTTCAATGTAATTTCAATGAAATGACGTGGAAACAACGTTGATCCAACCAGTGTGTGCCCTGTGGGAAGGGGCTAAGCATTAACATATCCAGACCACTATGAGGATACAACAATAGCAACATGGTTTCCTATGGGGACAGAGAGGAGTGAGCGATTGTTTTAGCGCCTGCCGGCTACAGCTTCTCTGTGTCCCTGGAGGGTTTCTCTGGAACTGAAAGAGTATATTTATTCTGTGCTGTTGGTGATGTACCAACCAGGGCACCATCAGTAGGTGCGTCTTGGCAGTCTGAACTGGCTTCCTCTCCCAGTCTCCTCTCAGTATTCAGCACGGATCAAAAACAGATGGTGGGTGTTTATTTTAGCCAGTGCTGTGTCCCAATATGTATGTATGTGTGTGTGTGTGTGTGATGATGACTAAGTATGGCCATGAGACTCCTCCAGTTGACTTTGTTCCAGCTCTCACCAGCCTCCGGTGTTTGGGCAATACTGTCTGTGTGCTGGAGTAGGAAGGGTTATGGCTATGGGTGTTTCCCACATTGATAGATGGCAGTATTTTCCCCCAGATATAACATAATTATTGTTATTGGTTGAAAAAAGGGACAAATAAAAGGAGCTGGTGTATAAATGAAGTCTGTGTGTAATCCAAGTTTATGTCTTTCTTCACTTTGAATATTTTCTGGAAATTGCTTTTTAAAAACGGATACTCCCACCACCACACACACCTAACACAGATGTCCTGCACAGAGGGTAATGGTAGGCCACCCAAACACATCATCTGTGAATTAACCAGAGAATGCAGACCAACACTTATGCACATGTCATGTCATCTTGGTTTGCAAAAAAACGTCATGTCACTTTGTTTAATTACAAATTATTTTTTTATTATGCATATTTCTCTTGTGGTTGTATGGCTTCATCATACATGTGAATAAGGTGGTTCTGCACATAGAGACTCCTGGAGCAGCTCTGTACCCTAAACTGCAGCTGGCCCAGAGACAATGGCACAACGCTGACTCTCACAATGGTTTACAATGGGGGCTGACACTGAGGCTAACAAAAACACACACTCATACACTGACACACTCATGCTAATGCGTACTCACTGACTCACACACACAGACAACTACTGTATCACACTCACCCTTAAAACACACACACACAAGTATGGACATAAAGGTTCTAGCAGAGATAATTTGCACTGTCCCTGATAGACAACTCTTGTATTGTTATGACAATATGTTACCATTCCAATACTAAATAGTACATCCTCCATTCAGCTTACATTAGCCTGTATTTTTTCTGCATCTGCTCATGTTAAACATTACTGAGATAGTCAGTTACCCCAGCTGCTGCAGGTCTCTAATGATGATAAACATGAATATGGAAATACATACGTTTACAAAAATCTGCCTTGACATGAATATCTTAGGGTATCAATTATATAAAAAGCATATGTAACAGTGTAGTCTACCTTATACTCATTCATCCCATACTCCATTAGAATAATAATAATGGCATATTCAGTGAAATTATGATTATATCAATCTGCAATAATTTACTCACAATCAAGGAGGGCATGGAAAATGGAAATAGAGCACATAGACAGATGGACGGACAAGCAGAGACAGAGTGCATAAACATTTTCCACTGGAGGTATGAGTCTTGTAAAAATGGACATAGAACAACATTCTGAAATATAGATAGAATGTACAGAGAAGTGATAAGGCCACGTACAGAAAGGTATTCCTGAAGAATGTCCAGAAGAGGATGCTGCCCTTTTACAGTGCCTTCAGAAAGTATTCACACCCCTTTACCTTTTCCACATTTTGTTGCGTTACAGCCTGAATTAAAAAAGTATTAAATTGAGATTTTGTCACTGGCCTAAACACAATACCCCATACTGTCAAAGTAATGTTTTTCAAATATTTTCAAAATTATTACAAAATGAAAGCTGAAATGTCTTGAGTCAATAAGTATTCAACCCCTTTGTTATGGCAAGCCTAAATAAATTCACGAGTCACATAATAAGTTGCATGGTCTCACTCAGTGTGCAATAATAGTGTTTAACATGATTTTTGAATGACTACCTCATCTCTGTACCCCACACATACAATTATCTGTAAGTTCCCTCAATTGAGTTGTGAAGTTCAAACACAGATTCAACCACAAAGACCAGGGAGGTTTTCCTCAGTTGACCAGGGAGGTTTAAAAAAAAGCCGACATTGAATATCCCTTTGAGCATGGTAAAGTTATTAATCACACTTTGGATGGTGTTTCAATACATCCAGTCACTACAAAGATACAGGCGTCCTTCCTAACTCAGTTGCCGGAGAGGAAGGAAACCGCTCAGGGTTTTCACCATGAGGCCAATGGTGACTTTAAAACAGTTACAGAGTTTAATGGCTGTGATAGGAGAAAACTGAGGATAGATAGTTACTCCACAATAGTAACCCAATTGACAGAGTGAAAAGAAAGAATCATGTACAGAATAAAAATATTCCAAAACATGCATTCTGTTTGCAAAAAGGCACTAAAGTAATACTGCAAGAAATGTGGCAAAGCAATTCACTTTTTGTCCTGAATACAAAGTGTTATGTTTGGAGCAAATCCAATACAACACATTACTAAGTACCACTCTCCATATTTTCAAGCATAGTGGTGGCTGCATCATGTTATGGGTATGCTTGTAATCGTTAAGGACTGGGGAGTTTTTCAGGATAAAAAAACCCGGAATGGAGTTATGCACAGGCAAAATCCTAGAGGAAAACCTGGTTCAGTCTGCTTTCCACCAGACACTGGGAGATGAATTCACCTTTCAGCAGGACAATAACCTAAAACACAAGGCCACATCTAAACTGGAGTTGCTTACCAAAAAGACAGTGAATGTTCCTGAGTGGCTGAGTTACCGTTTTTACTTAAATCTACTTGAAAATCTATGGCAAGACCTGAAAATGGTTGTCTAGCAATGATCAACAACCAATTTGACAGAGCTTGAAGAATTTTGAAAATAATAAATGGTCAAATATTGTACAATCCAGGTCAATTTGCTGTATCACAACAAAATGTGGAAAAAGTCAAGGGGTATGAGTACTTTCTGAAGGCACTGTAGATCCTATTAAATTACTAGAGGGGGCTATGTCATAAACCCTCATAGTTCCATAATGGGGTGAAAATCGCAGCCATCTTGGTCAGGGAGAAATCCAAAACCAGTCTAATTGGAATGAATGGCAGAGGCATAGGTGATGCATTTCCTGCTTTTACTTATGCAGGAATATAAAAGTAAGGCATGTAATGTATCAGAAATTATGTAATGGAATTATAGTCAACTTAAAATGTTGTCATAATTATAAATACAGTTTATACAGGTTTTATACACATTTTCTGTATAAACAGCCTCTACAATATATATAAACAGACCATAAAATGTCTCATTTTGTTTTCTTGGAAAAAGCTGTGAGTGCTATTATGTGATACAATATCAGTATTTGTTGCATTTACAACTTGTCTAAGTCCTATTAACTGATTTGAGCCAGTGTATGGCTGTGGATTCACTGCATTATTTGAATGGAATGTTGGCAGTTAATTTGAACAATTTATGGAATAATTCCTCTAAAACTGGCTGATAAATTCTTCACATTCATTGTTTTACACAATATCTTATCACAGCACTGGCAAAACCATGGTTGACCAACTCCCTGACCAACATGGCTGACTTTTGGACCATCATAAGAAGGTTCATGTCCATTCTAGTATTCTAATTCCTAATTATATAATGCTGCCTCTGTCTCACCTCGCTAATGAAATGTTCAGTAGCACTTCTGGAAGAGTGAGGCGGAGCATCTGGTGAAATATAATGGCTACCCAACCCATCTTCGCCCAACCTTCAAACCTCATCCACTGCATTAAAGGGCTGCTCAGAAAAGCCTTGGCTACTTGTGTACAAGGATGGGTGGTCTCTGTGGGTAAGGAGGAGTGGAAGGTTGTAGGTTCTAGGTAGGTTCTAGAATCATTCATTCTCCTCTTCTCATGTTCCATTGACTCCATCACGTTTGGCATTGGACACAGGGCGAGCTCTTACTTCAATCATTAGCAACAAACATTCATATAAACATTGGCAACAACAGCAATAGTAGTATAGTAACAACTACGATAACACAAATGGATAATAACCCTAATAGAAAAACAGGAGGAAGTCTCAGTGTGTTTTGTTTTGTTTGTTTTCACAAACCTCTTTGGATTCTGACCCCACTCTCTCCTCGGTTGTCAGGAGTCTCGTCCGGATGATGTCACAGGTCATAGTGCAATAATCCTCTTGTTCCAAGTCTCCATACATGTTGTTGTCATGAGTGTCCCCCTCCAATTACCCTCACCCCACCTCCATATCCCAGGCACCCCTCACTGCATGCGGTCGGGCTGGTGGTGGGGATATTGGAGGTAGGCTGCAGGGGGGGCAGAGAGGCCTGCGAGAGGGTTGAGGGAGAGGTGGATGGGCGTGGGAGGGGTAGGGGGGGCAGACATGGTAGGGCCTGGTGTGGCGGGGGAGTAGCTGTAGCTGAGGTAGCTAGTGGAGGGCGAGGGGGCGTAGGGGTAGTGCTCAAGGCCAGTTGAGGGGGTGGAGGTGTAGGGGGCGTAGGCTGAGCTATAGTCCAGATACGGGGAGGAGAGGGAGGCCTGAGAGGGGCTGAGGTGGGACTGGAGCAACATGCTGGGGTGGAGGAAGGCCTGGGGGTACACATACTGCTGGGCCAATCTGAAGAAACAGAAACAAAGAAAAGGATAGATACATGTGTACAGTATACGGTTATACATTAGGAGTGTATACACACTCACAGGCCTGAGGACACACATACTGCTCAGCCATCATGGAGAAAGAGGCACATACACTACAGTTTCTATAGTTTATGTACCACACCACTAAAATTACAGGGGACATACTGTACTATTGTATGCCCATATTTCCAATAGGCCTGAGGCCACACATGAGGACAGACCAACCTACAATGTAGGAGAGTTATACACGCATCCACAATGTCATTCCCCACCCTTTCTTAACGCTCAACTTGACCCTCTGAGAGAGCACAGAACCTACCTTCTAACCCCCCCCATCATAACTTTCACCACCACTGCAACACTAGAAATAGCACACATTCTCCTTAGTGTACGATTAATTATCATAGCCATGAGAGAATGGCAAGAACACACACACACGGCACACACACAGTACACACACAGTACACACACAGTACAGCATCAGTAGGATTCTGAGCCATTGTAATGAAAGGGCACATACAGTTCTGTTGTCTACCCACAATTCACCTTGCCTTAGGCTGCCCATTTATAAACCTAACCTGCTTCAGTTCCTCTGACAGCTACAAAAATAGATCAGAGAGAAATGGCTGACAGAAGTGACAGAACAATAGAGGTTGTCAACATCTGTAATAATAATTGTTCCTGGATCAGCTTGGCCTGTCCAAATGACCTTATTCTTTCTTTACCCAATAATAACCTCATGGCTGAGACTGTCTCCGGGGGGGGGGGGGGAGAGGCCGGCAGCAGTGAATGACTGACATACGGCATTGGACACTCAGCTTTCAAACAGTGCTAGCTTTGGCATAGTATTACCTGAATACTGTATGTAAAGATTTACGTCAAGCACACATAATGTGTAGATCAGGATCCTTGTCAAATAATACCTCAGAATGTGAGATGTGCACGTGATCAAATGTTTCTTGTGTCAATGCCTTTCATTAGGGGGATTGTAATAACTGGGTTTCTATAATTGGCTATTTTTGTGGAGAGCTTTGTCTAATTAGGTCCCTATAGGTAGAGAGAAGAGACGGGGGGAGGGGAACGACTCGGGAGAGGCGAGGTATATCTCCATGTCCAGAGGATATAGAGGGTAGAATACAGGCAAGAAAGAGAAAGTAAGGGAGGGAAATGTAGGGGAATGAAGAGACTGCAGTTTGGATGGTAGGGTGTTTTACAAGAGAGGCTCAGTTTGAGCCATTCTAAAAGGCGACAGCATGCTTCCAGCAGAAACAGTTCGGAAGAGTTTGTGCATATATTATGAAGACGTTTTGGACTTCGGTGAGTTATTTTTGGTTGTCCGGGCACACTAAACTTTTTCTAGAGGCAAGCCGAAGTCTAGGCACCTTCGTCGGTGATTGGTTAACAGTAGGGATTCTTCCATAAAGTCTTTGTTGTCATTCAATGAGAGACGACTCGTTTTCATAAAAACATTTTTGGGGAGAAATACTGCACCAAACATCTTAGTTAGATGTAAAATTGTGTGACTAAGATCTCCTCGGCAAAAACGTCAAAATTAATGACAGATTTCTTGAGTTATCTTTGATGAATTCTGACTATTTTGAGGAAGGTATACTGCTACGGCGTCTCAAAATGGATAAACAGTACTATTTCATTTTTCAAGCGAATGTATTTTAAGGGAGTATGCGAGCACACTAATTTGGTTTGCCTAGCCGAACTGAAGCATGCTGACGCCTTAACACTTCAGCAAAGGACAACTCTACTTCACACATACGCACACACACACGCGCACACACGCGCACACACACACACACACACGACACTCACCAGCTCTCAAATCCTCTCTACCTCCCCAGATGTGTGTTTGCAGTGACTGAGCCCCTAATCCCCCCTCCTCCCCTCCAACCCGTCTCTGTGTTTCAACAGGAAACACACCCCAGCCCTTCACACACCACACTGCACCCGCCCGGCCTCCTCCTTCCTCTCCTCCTTCAGAAAAAGAACAGAATTTGAATAAAGTACCAAATCTCACTTCTCTGTCAGCGCCCTGCCTGGCGTCTGCCCTGCCAGCTAGCTGGAACAGATGGCGCCTTAGCCGCTGCCTTGCCAACTCTGGGTCCTACAAGCAGCCAGAGGCACTGGACCACATCCTGACCCCCCCACCTCACACTCGCGTACACACACACACACCTCTTCACGGCCACTCCTAGCATTAGTCATTAGTCCCCTCTCTTCTTAAACACTCATGTAAATACGCCAAGGCTGGGGACAGAAGCTCTGTTTTTCCTGTACTGTTTTTGTTTATTTTTGTTATTTGCCCTTTCCAATAGCATGGACAGACAGAGCAATATGTAAACCCCGGCCAGAGAAGCCCCTGGAGAGGCAGAACTCCCCACAGAAGGAGCCCAACTATTAGCTCTGAGACAATGGTGCTTACTTATCGCCAAAATGATGAGCTGATGAGTTTGGGTGTTTTTTTTTTGGGGGTGCGTGCGTGTCCATGTGTGTTTTGACAGAGTAGTCAAGGCTTCATGAAGATAGATTCATCCACTCCATACCAAGTGACTTCCACAGAAGATTAAGAAAGAGGAAGTCCTTTTCATTGTGTTGGCAGACAGACAGTGACATTATCATGATCAAACCCAGTATAAGAGATGGAGTACTTGTGCTTTAATTGTCCATTGGTTCTCTGAAGGAGACATTCAATCAGCTCACCATAATTCATTCACAGGCTCATCTGGGTCAGCCTCAATTCCCTTACCACTCAATATATCATTCAATAATTGAAAGCCGGCGGCTGCAATATTAATAGCCCTGTGAGCCATGGGGTTTGAAGGGCCTATCACAATTCCTGCTACTGCTGTTGCACAGAACACACAGCCCAACCAGACCAGCCTCACAGAATAGGAAATGATAATTTAGCGTAATATAGTATAGCACTCATCAGAAAACATGGACAGCGCTGGTCATCTCCCTTCTGGCTAAACAAATGCCAGAGAGATGTTTTATTTCTGGGTCAAACTAAGTGAGTTAGTTGTGAAGTACACTGAGTGAAACTGAGTGAAACATTAAGAACACCTGCTCTTTCCATGACATAGACTGACCAGGTGAAAGCTATAATCCCTTATTGATGTCACCTGTTAAATCTACTTTAATCAGTGTAGATGAAGGAGAGGAGACAGGTTAAAGAAGGATTTTTAAGCATTGAGACAATTGAGACATGGAGAGTTAATGGGCAAGACAAAATATTTAAATGCCTTTGAAAGGGGTATGGTAGTAGGTGCCAGGCGCACCAGTTTGTGTCAAGAACTGCAGCACTGCTGGGTTTTTCACACTCAACAGTTTTCCGTGTGTATCAAAAATGGTCTACCACTCAAAGGACATCCAGCCAACTTGACACAAGTGTGGGAAGCATTGGAGTCAACATGGGCCAACATCCCTGTGGAACACTTTCGACACCTTGTAGAGTCCATGCCCCGACGAATTCTTCCTAATGTTTTGTCCACTCATTGTAGATCACTGTAATAACTTTGGTACTGAATATTCAGAACTAGCCTGCCTGTTATCAGTATGAGAGTGAGTTGATTGTGTATGTACCAACAGAGCTCTTTCCCACAGACGCACAAACAAGCACACACACATCCCATGCCACTGTGACCGTTCACCCATCTATCACACCATGACTCACAGGCCAACACCTCACTTCTCTACTCAGCCTGTTTTCACAACACACTCATTCCCTGGGAAGAGTGTGTGTAAGGAGGCTTTGTAATGGTTTGACTAGCAGCTCATCGGCCTGTGTAGGTCAACCATGGCCGAGAGAGAGCGAGTGAGATTAAGGTAAGATACAGAGAGAGAGAGAGAGAGAGAGAGAGAGAGAAAGAGAGAGATGAAGGAAAGATACATAGATCTATAGAGAGAGAGAGAAAGAGAGAAGAAGAAAATACTTATACTATCTATAGAGAAGAGAGAGGAGAAGAGAGAGAGAGAGCTCGAGAGATAGAGATAATAGATGAGAGAGAGAAGCTAGACGATAGAGCAGAGACATAAGCAGGCTAAGAATATCCCCATGTCCAAATGTATCCATGTTAGGAAACAGCAGCAGGCCAGCCAGTTAAGTGAAGCAAGCCAGTGTCTGGATATTCTCACTGAGTTCTGTGCTCTTGTAACTGATGGTAGCACAGCTGGCTGAAGGAAGGGTCAACACACAACTAGACAGACACAGATAGACAAGAGGAAAAGATTAAAGGAAGAGATTAGGGGAAGAGGCTGACAGAGACCGAGAGAGTGGTTCCTTCTTACCCATACTGCCTATGGATCAGAGCGGGATGGACCTGCTGTACACCGACTGAGAAACCTGTGTGGCAGAGAGAACACAGCAGGGTCAGAGGCCATCAGATACTACAGACGACAACAGTGAGGGACATCATCTGAGCTACTGGAAGGACAAGACAGAAATCAGACCAGGACAGACAGAGACCGCATAAGGGACAGAGTCTGCCTGGAGGAAGAGATCCTACCACTCATTTACTTTTCATCTCTCTGTGAGCTGAACAGGCACTGTTTAAATAACCGAAACAGAGAATCTACATGGACACTAACGAGAAAATACACACTCTCTGACACATTCACTCTCACAAACACGTAGCTCTGACCTCATTGACTCCTGAGATCACCATGAATGTGAAGATAGGCGACTCATCTCTCCTTCCTTCCTTCTATCGCTCCCTCCCTCCCTCCCTCCCTCCCTCCCTCCCTCCCTCTTCCCTCCCTCTTCCTTCCCTCCCTCTTCCTTCCCTCCCTCCCTCTTCCCTCCCTCCCTCCCTCCCTCCCTCCCTCCCTCCCTCTTCCCTCCCTCCCTCCCCTCCCTCCCTCCCTCCCTCTCACTACCCTCACACTCCTTTTTCTCTCACAAACACTGAATGTTCCTCTAACTCTTACGCACGCCAAACGTGCACACACAGACACACACAGACACACCCCCCTTGGTCATTCTCTCGTGTTCTGTTTATCATGACTCCCTGGGTGAGGTGAGTCACACAGGACAATGAAGAGTCAGATCTGCTGTTATTGCTCTCGCTCGCCCTCTCTCCCCCCCCCCCGTCTCATTATCACCCCCACCTCCACACCCAACCCCCACACACAGAGACTCTCATCTCACACACAATAACAAAAATACCAAGCTCTGACATATCTCATCAACTGCATGTTGGGAGTGTAACATAGCAACAACACCCCGACATACTGCTGTGCGTCAGTCACACATATGCTACATCTAAAAATGAAACCCTGTTATCTATATCGTGGTGCGCTAGATTTCAACCCTGTATTTTCTCCACAGGCTGAGAGGAAAGAGTGTGTGTGTAGTCTGAAGGGGAGCAGAGGCTGGTGGTTAACAGGCTGGTAGTTATCACTGTATGAGCCTGACCACATGGCCCCCTCAGGGAGAAGTGGTGTGTGTGCCATCAAGTGTGTTGTGTGTGTACCGTATCATGTAGAGGAATGTAGCTATAATAGTAGTCAACTGAGAGTGTGCAAGTGTGTCATCTGCTGTGCTCAACTGTTTGTCTGTGTATGAGAGAAAGAGTGTGTGTGTTTGTGTGTAACACCTGTCTGTGGGCTGCGTGGCTTGGCTCCCAGGTAGGCCAGGTTGATGTTAGCCTTCCTACCGTCGATGATGGGGTTGGGGTCTTTACATGCCCGCTCTGCCGCCCCCCTGTCCATCATAGTCACCTGACAGGAAGAGGAAAGAACACACAGGTTTGGGATTCAGGAAGTGACCAATAAAATACTTATCCCGTAACTTGTATCTCACCAATAAATCCCTGTAATCCCAGTAAAGCGTATCAGTGTTCATGCTGTACTGTTTGAGCTCTAGTCCTGGATACATAGTAAATAGTAAGATCCTGTGTGCTTATAGCATAGTGTGTGATGGTAAAGTATGAAACAGAGGATTTCAGGGCTGAGCCGTCTGCTGCTGTGTAGGAGTATGTCTCTCAGATTAGGGCCCCATAGGAGGGGCACCGGCATCCTGACCAATCACAGGGAATGGTAGGCGTCTGGGTGTGCAGGGAGGGGGAAGGGTATCTTCATAATAATAATAATAATATGCCATTTAGCAGACGCTTTTATCCAAAGGACTTACAGTCATGCGTGCATACATTTTTGGTATGGGTGGTCCCGGGATCAAACCCACTACCTCGCGTTACAAGCCCGTGCTCTCACCAGCTGAGCTACAGAGGACCACAACTTTCAATTCTATCATTATTTTACTAACAATGGGATGTTAAAAAAGAGCAATCACCAACATGGTACATCGAAACACACATTAATTGTCTCTCTCACACACACACACACACACACACACACACACACACACACACACACACACACACACACACACACACACACACACACACACACACAAACACACACACACACACACACACACCACAACACACACAACACAACACACACACACACACAACACACACACACACACACACACACACACACACACACACACACACACACACACACACACACACACCTATTACAGTATTACAGTAACAGCAGTCATAAACTATGCTAATAAATGAGGCGAGGTGAACTGAAACATGAAATGAGTAACAACGTCAAGTCACCAAACAGTACAGGGCACTGATGTCACAGCATTATTACTTTGCTTTTATTTCAAAGCATCAGACTCTGGAGTCCTATTCGAACACTGGCTGTACTCTGGATGGGTTGATTGCTGTGTTTCTAAAGGCGGCTGGGGGGATTAGACTGCTATGGTAAGTCAGGGGTGAAATGGGCAGACTGTCCGGCCTGGGTCAGAGACAGAACACACACTGGTTGGCTGGCTAAACTCATCAACATGAGTATGAGCAGGCAGGGAAAATATACATTGCTTTAACTCCTCTCAGCTAACAAAAACATATGGAAATGTCTGCTCTACCCAAAAATTACAACCAAATAATTGCAGCCTTACCGCAAAAGTGGAAGAGGAAAGTGGAAGGGGGAGAAAGTAAGGAACTTGTCTGTCGGCCTTGCATTAAAGAACATAATTGGTTAAGGAAAACTGTGATAAATAAAAAAGTATATCAGTTTCACTTAAGGACCAAAGAATTGACAGCCGTCCCATATAGATTGCAAAATAGTTGGGAAGAGATCTTTGACGTACCGATCCCATGGCATAGTGTTTATGAACTGACACGCAAAACGACACCGGATTCAAAAATTAGAATCTTTCAATTTAAATTATTATATAAAATTCTTGCTACCAATATAATGTTATTTATATGGGGGATACAATCTTCCCAGCTCTGCAGATTTTGCTGTGAAGAGACAGAATCATTAGATAATTTGTTTTGGTTCTGTCCATTTGTAGCTTGTTTTTGGACACAGGTCCAGGAATGGCTAAAGGATTGCAATATTTACCTGGAGCTAACCTTGCAGATAGCATTACTGGGTGATCTGAAAAGTCATAGTCAATCGATCAATAATATAATACTTTTAGCAAAAATGTTTATTTTTAATTCACAATCTGTAGAAGCAATGAGAATAGAAAGGTTCAGAACTTTTGTAAAACATCACAGTACGGTTGAAATATATATGGCAAATAGAAATCCTATATGGATGGTGTTAAGAGATAGATGGGAGGTATTGAATAGAGTTGAAGGATGGGGCTAATAACAAATAACAACAAATAATAACAAAGATAGCTAATAATGTAAGCATACTGTGTCCATAATAAGTATATAGGTTGTATGTTGGGAGCTTTTGGGAAAGAGCACAGTTAGAAAGATATGGCATATAGAAGCAAACCGGATGGACACCATGAAAATGATCGGAGAGGTTGAGAGTAGAAGAAGTTCAGGAGCTAAAAATAAATAAATATATATATAATAGAATTATTGTAAAATTAACTGTGTCCATAAGGTGTAGATAGTAAGTATAGACCGGAAGTAGAGGCCTGGGCACTGTTGTTCACTAATTTACTCCAAGTAGGGAAAGGATGGCGGGGTTGAAAAGTAATAAAGGGGAGTATATATATAAAAAACATGGGGGATTGGAAGTGATGCAGACAATTACATTGATAGAAGATACAATCTATCTGCAATATTAAGCTGATCCCCCCCCCCCCCCCCAAAAAAAAAAAAAAAAAAACTCCTCTCATCTCTTTTGTCTTTTTATCCATCTCTCTCCCTTCCCCCCTTGCTCATAGCCACACACAGCTTGACAGAGGGGGGTGGTGTGTGTCTGTGTGGAAGGAAGGAAGTCAAAAATAAACTGCAGCCTTATCTCAGAGCGCCAACATGTCACACCTCTGTGACCAGGCGACTACCTTCTGCTAACAGACCCACAGCCTCCCCCAGAGAGAGAGAGAGGGAAAGATAGCATTGAGCTATAAATGGGGGAGAGAGAGAGAGAGAGAGAGAGAGAGAAAGGGAGAAGGAGGGGAACAGAGGGAGAGAGACTGCACGAAAACAGTACAAACAAAAGCTCCTCAGGGACAATCCAGAGACCCTATTTGTGGACTGTTACAAGACTGGGAACATAAGCAACTTAATTTTCCACACAGACAATCCCCTGGCATGGCACACTGCTATAAGAGCACACTACCCCTCTGTCAGAGGCGGAGGGTGGAAAATCTGAATACTGAAAAACTAGGACCCTGAGACTGAGACAGCCTCTGTCAATTTGTACAAGGTTGGAACAGTGGTGGTGCAGGGCAACTTCAAACACTTCCAACAGGACTTTTACACAATCAAAGAGAGAGCACAGCAGGAGAAGCTCTCTCTTGGTGACGACTCCTCCACCCAAAGTGAGTCGGTCCACACCCCCCACAGACGAGCAACCCCATGACTGGAGGGGGAGAGAGACGTGTCTGCACTCTGGACTTTGGTGAGAAAACTCCAATAGGAGAAAGAGGAGGGGTGAAAGGAGGAGGCCAAGCGGCAGGAGAAGATGAGAGCACTAGAGCAGGAGAGAAAGCTGAGGGGCGACAGGGAGCAACCCATGAAAGAGCAGACACCACAGCAGAACAGCCCACCCCAGACCCTGACCACAGCCTCGACAACACAGCAGGACAGACAAATAAAGAACCACCAACCCAGCAGACCCCACCCTCTCCTAGCAGCCCCCATGAAAACCCCTTGAAACCCACTGAGGACATACACAAGCCACAAATTGTACTCCTTATGGACTCAAATGGGAAATGCATACAATAAATGTTTCCCCAAACACATTGTGGCTAAACTCTGGTGCCCAAACACTCAGCACACCCTAGACCTGCTATCGGAGGACCAACTCACAGGCACAAACGAGGGCCCAGGTGGTGACAGCACTCAAGGGAGTGATTGAAAAAGCTTTTTCCACTTTCCCCAACGCACTAGTGGTTATCTCCACCCAGCTACCACGAAAATACTTTTACCCAGCTACCATACAGCAGGTAAACGCAAGCATTTCCCCTTTACTGTGCCTCAAAACCAAATGTTTACCTGGCCCACCACTCCACACTAGGACTTGAACAACCTTTATGAACAGGTTCACCTATACAAAGCAACAGTCCCTACTTTTGCAAGGACCCTGAAAGACTTTGCCCTCAACCGCAGCCTCAGCACCTTAGCAACGGACACCCCGTCCCAGACCAGCGAGACACCCTACCAGACCAGCGAGACACCCTACCAGACCAGCGAGACACCCTACCAGACCAGCGAGACACCCTACCAGACCTGCACCTAGAGGACCTACATGGAGACCACAGCACCACCAGGCACATCTACCCCCCACCCCAACCAGTTCAGCATGCTCAGCACTCTCTGCTCACACCTACTGTAATGGTCTAAGCCTAAACTACACTGGACACAATGGAACACAAAGCTTTTACTATCTCATCCTGAAATATACAAGGTCTGAGGTCATCTGCTTTGGCCTAAAGAGCAGGAACCCAGACTTCACCAAAGAAATCAGAAATACATACATTGTCATCCTGCAAGAAACATGGTATAGAGGAGATGGACCCACTGGTTGCCCTCTAGGTTACAGAGAGCTGGTAGTCACATCCACCAAACTACCACGTTTGAAACAGGGAATAGACGCAGAACAGTATATTTGAGCTACAGTTCCATCTAACATATACATTTTTTTTTTAAAAAAAAAAATCTAACAGAAAACCTAAGAAAACTAACAATGAGAAATGTTTTGATGAAGAATGCAAAACCAGAATTAAGAAACCTATCCAACCAAAAACACAGAGACCCAGAAAACCAGAATCTAAGTCTTCACTAAAACAGCACAGAAATACACTAAGAAAAAAGAAGGAACGGCATGTCAGAAAACAGCTCAATGTGATTTAAGAATGTATAGAATCAAATCACTTCTGGGAAAATTAGAACACACTAAACAAACAACACGAAGAGCTACAGTATATAAAGCAGGCAGACAGGCATCGAGGCATTCAGTTAGTGTTCAATTGAATGTTAGAATGGGCAAAACTAGTGACCTAAGCGTTTTTGAGCGTGGTATGATTGTCAGTGCCAGGTGCGCCGGATCCAGTATCTCAGAAACACGTCTTCCTGGGCTTTTCACGCACGACAGTATCTAGGGATTACCGAGAATGGGGCGACAAACAAAAAACATCCAGTCCTGTGAGTGAAAACAGCTCATTGATGAGAGAGGTCGAAGGAGAATGGCAAGAATCGTGCAAGCTAGAAGGCGGGCCACAAACA